CTAAGGCCTTTACGACCCGCGCGACCTGCTCGCCCACATCGATGCAAAAATACTTTCGGGTCCGCCGGGGGATCAATCTGCACCACCAAGTCCACTGAGGGGATATCCAACCCCCTTGCTGCGACATCGGTAGTCAAAAGTACAGACGGAGAGACTGAGTTGGAGAAGCGCATGAAGTTCTTCTCCCGGACATTCGCTGGATGCTTACCATGCAAAGACACAAGCACGGCGTCGGAGGGCATAATTGATGGTAGCAGGGTCTGAAAGTAGTCCACTGCGGCACAGGTGGACAAATACACAATTGTCCGAAGCGGCATTGGATCGAACTGCTTCAGCAGAGCTGATAAGAAGGGAAATCTTTCTGAAGCTCTGGTCACCGCATATGCCATCTTCAAACTCGCTGGCGTCCGCTTGTCTTCCACTCCGTTTGCGCCTTTTACTTTTACTTCAACCTTCACAGGATTCCGCAGACCAACACGAATTAGTTGGTCCAGGGCTTCGCTCACACTGGCACTGAAGAGACCTGTCCTCCTCTCTTTTGGTAGGAGATTGAGAATCTTAGTGAGCTCGTCCTTGAACCCGTGATCGAGCAATCTGTCAGCCTCGTCCAGCACGAGAATTTCGAACGAGGATTTCGGATAGTAGACATCTCGCGAGGTCATAATGTCGACCAGTCGACCCGGTGTCGCGACCAGCACATTCGGAGAGGCCTTGAGAAATTTACTCAGGTCCTGCGCTGGTGTGGTAGAGCCGCCTACGAGCAGCTGTGGGATAACTTTCAGCGTTGAAGGGGGAAAACACTCTACTTCATTGTGTGCGTCTGAATCAGCATGTGCATCCAATGGTTCGAGCCCCGCGGCTGAAGGGGGGTGAAACCTCAGCAGTGAAACCAGAACGTTGTATATTTGGGTGGCCAATTCTCTGGTGGGAGAGATGATGATAGCACCGACATGGTGTCTCTTGATCGGCTCTTCCAGTCTCAACAACTTTTCCACTACCGGTATGAGGTATGCCAACGTCTTTCCACTACCCGTGACAGCTTCGACCACGACGTCTTTGTAGGCCATGAAGAGGGGGATGGTCGAGGCTTGGACTGGGGTCATGCGGGTGAAATTCAGGGCTGACATTGCTTCGAGGATCCATGGTGATAGCGGAGGCTTGAGAGCTTCCCATGTTCTGGAGGTCCTCCCCCTGGAGGGGACTGTCCCCCTATCTGGCGCCATGAAGCAGGAGTGAGACCGCAGACGGCGACAACGAAGTACGCAGAAGGGAAATTAGAGCACAAGATCCTGGCTCGCTGGGGAAAAAGAAATCGGCATTTCCTCGGAACATTATTTTTCATCCATATCGATAAGAGAAATCCTGCTGTTTTAGAAGCCCTGGTCAAGCCCTTGAGTGCCCGCAGCCTCGCTCTATTTACGCCAAAGCCAAAATTTCCTTTTCAATCGCCTCTCCAAAGGTCTTTGTGTTCCCCTTTCCTCCCATATCCGCCGTAATGACATTTTCTTCTGCTCGAGAGAGCACGTTCTCGACCGCCTTCAGTATCGCCGCCGCAGCCTCCTTAAATCCAAAGTGTTCCAGCATCATCTGACCCGCCCAGATCATCCCGACAGGATTGGCGATCCCCTTTCCAGCGATGTCAGGGGCGCTCCCATGTACCGGCTCGAATAAGCTTGGGAAATCGCCAGTTGGGTTAATATTTCCCGAAGGGGCTATGCCTATTGTTCCCGTGCAAGCCGGACCAAGGTCTGAAAGGATGTCTCCAAAGAGATTGCTGCCAACTATGACATCAAAGATTTGGGGCCTTTGAACAAAGTGTGCCGTCAAGATGTCGATGTGGTATTTGTCGACCCTAACTTCCGGATATGTTTTGGCCATGTTCTCAACTCTGGTGTCCCAATAAGGCATTGTAATGCTTATGCCGTTACTCTTGGTTGCGCTCGTCAGATGTTTCTTCGGCCGGCTCTGGGCCAATTCAAAGGCGTACTTCAACACTCTGTCGACCCCAGTTCTGGTCATTACTGTCTCTTGAATGACTGTCTCTCTGTCCGTGCCCTCAAAGATCTTGCCCCCAATACTACTGTATTCTCCCTCGGTGTTCTCTCTCACGATCCAGAAATCGATATCTCCGGGCTTCCGCCCTGCAAGCGGACACCGCACTCCCGGCATTAACCGTGCAGGCCGCAAGTTGATATATTGATCAAACTCGCGGCGAAACTTCAAGAGGCTGCCCCACAGACTAACGTGGTCGGGCACTTGGTCGGGCATCCCTACTGCGCCGAAGTAGATTGCATCAAATTTTGATAATGTGGCATTCCAGTCCTTTGGAAGCATGTCACCATGTTTCTTGTAATATTCACAGCTTGCGAAGTCGAATTCCTCAAACTCAAGTTCCAACGCAAAAACTTTTGCTGCGGCTCGGAGACATCGTACGCCATAGGGCATGACTTCTGTCCCGATTCCATCCCCAGGAATGACTGCGATTTTTAGTTTCTTTTGTTGAATCATGGTGATAATTGACAGGTCAAACAAGGCTTCTGACAAAATGAACAGCACGCTTGGTGGGTGAGGAGACGTGGATTCGAAGGATATATAACATCGTTGTCGGGCTAATTTTTCGCCGACAATCTTTTGGCCGATGCTAGTCAGCTATTGCGAAATCGGAGTCCTGGGCAAGGGAAATATCGCCGAAATTGCACCAATTAACAACAGAAGTGATTTATGATTTATGGCTTCGAGGATAGGTAATTACCTGGATTGTGCTGCTTGCCTCTGTGAGCACGCTGGTTGCTCAGAGGTTCGCCTTTCTTCTGACTGCTCTTATAACAGCGTGCATTCATCGATCCTGCAAGCACACTCCATACCCATTTCACTTCGACCATCGCTGCGAAACATCTGTTTAGAACCACAAATGGCGCAACTTCTGTCGAGTCGCCTCTTTCTCGTTTGACCAAGTGGGGTGCTAAGGCCTGGCGGTTGCCTAGTGAGCTGGATGCTGCCTCCATTACATAAGCAAGGCTGAAACCCCTGGTGTCCCTTGATCGGTCCTCCACACCTGGTTGGCTGGCTACCTCAGTCTCAGCCTCGGAGGGAAATGACCGAATATATCGTCGAATAGCACTGTTGGCCTTAGCAGCACCTCCAAGTGAGAATTCTTTTCAAAGGTTGAGCCTAGCATTGAAGCAAAGAGATGGCACTTCCATCTTCCTCCGCTGAGTGGATAACTGACCTCAATCATCCTTCCTATCATGTTCTCTTGAGCAAGAGGCAAGTCTCGTGGATACAGGACCCATTACAAAACTAAACAGCGGGAATTTTTATTTTCTCTAAGACTGGTGTGGATAGCGAATTGAATGTTGTAGGGCATAGAATACAAGACGCAGAATATATGGTCTTTCTGTCACTTGCATTTTGAGTGCTGGGAGGAGCAGCAGTCTGGGCATTGAGTGAAGCGGGGACATATTGTCGGAGCAGGAGACATAGGATACCAGAAAGGACCGGTGTGGTTCACATGACCCTACCAAATAATGCCGAGGGGACGTCGGTGAATACTCAGATCTCAGACTAACTAGAACGTTTTCGGGAGGTTTATGATCAAATCGGCGAAGAGCAGGGAAATGACTAACGGAATATTTGAAGGCGAGTTGGGAAAAGCTTGGTCTGGTTCTATATGCGAGCCCCAGAACTAGCTAATACGATCAGCGCAGTCAACCACAATGTTCCGCATCGCGCCTTTTACAATGTCAATGCTTCTCTCAAGCCAGGTCAACATCCCTGACTCTTGCCCATTCTCCTCTCGTCTTTGAGCTTCCTTCACTTGCCATCCATCGGGTATTGACCGTGCAAGACGCGCCTGACAACATTGCCGATATTTGTCTCGGTCTCGACGACGACGATGTGACTTGTCCACTGGTACTTGCTTCCCTGGAACCCAAAGCCTGGAGGGCGCTGCGGACACATCTGGCTCTTTAAATCTTGAAGAGCTACTGATATATCCTCAGCAGCGCGAATGAGCTTGGTCAGCAGGTTGGTGACGTCTCTTAATGCAGATAACGAGGATAGTGTTGGTTGTTCGATGGCGTTCTTGGCCCCGCTGCTAAAGGTGTCCTGTGTCAGGCTACTGGTTGTTTGGTTGTCTTCTTTTTGAGGTTATTTAAAGTGCCTCGTGTTTAGCTGCTGAAATTTTTGCAGACTGCTTGTGTCTACTAGTTGAAGATTGGGACTCCGCGACCGGGCTCATAGCAGCTGTAGATTCCTGTGGTCGGGCGACCAGCGGAAGAACAGCTTCCAGGGCAATCCCTCGGGTCTTGTGGCACCCGCATCTCATTAATATCGCTGCAGTCTCCCCGGCTTCATCTCGGGATCTTGCGTGACGGCAATACGTTGCTCAATATAAGCTGCGAAAGTTTCCAACTCCTTCCCGCATTCGCAGTATCTCCCGACGAAGACCGTGTTACACCTAGTGTCTCTTTTCCTGCTTAGAGTGGAGGGCTTTGGGTATAATCCCAGGTAAATATTTTAACGTGGCTAGTGTGCCAGTAGATGAGACAGAGCTGCCGAGGTATGGCCAAAAGCCCAATTACAAGCTCCGCGCTGCTGAATTTAGCTTTATCGTGTGCGAAGATGAACTTTTGATAGATATTAAGACGAAGCCAAGGGTTTCATTTTTATCGTTACAGGAAGCTCTTCCACCTGGGTTCATGTGGCTTTGTATGCCCTTTGCGGATCAAAGTTGGCACTCAAGAATGTTGTTTCGGAGGGTTGCTTCATACATTCTCATTTTCCCTTGTCCTGCCTCACGGGCTCTGGTAGGGAGCGGCAACCTTCGAGGTAAAGGGGGGCTGTTGTTGGTAACTTTTACTTCAAAGGCTCTGCCTTACCCTCTGGACGACGTTGAATCAGGATCGGTTCACCTTGAGCCTCAGTTCAGCGTACATCACCTCGGCTTAGGTGGCCCCCCAGCAAGATGATTGAATGAGGGACGGACCAATCCCTGATATCTAAGATACATGATTGACATTGGCTCTTGGGAACTCACTAGAGTCGGGTTTCAGTTTTGAATGGGCAACAGCAGGCACCGGGACTTTACCTGTTGGCGTAAACATAATGGATCGTTGATGCTCATTTGACCATAGACGTTCGCGGGAGTCGATTGATGACAGCCTGGATTTTGCTGCTTTGCCGACAAGCTCGAGGATCTGACCATAGACATTCAATTTTTCGTCTACAAACGCTTCGGAGCGCGTAACAGCAACAAGTGTAACAAACAGAGACCAGACATCCACTTTGGACCTTTGATTATACCCTCCATACCATATTTCCGGAGCCTGGAATATCGGAGTATCAGCTTGCGTCGTGGCCCACGCTTGTTCATTAGCAAGACCGAGATCCGCAAGCTGAAATATACATTCATTGCTGTTTCCCGGGGTGTAGAGAATGTTGTCGGGTTTAACATCTCGGTGAAATAGTCCTTGATATGCAAGGTAACCAAGAGCCTCCCGCATTTGTTTTAGGAGGCGGTTGAGAACGACTCCGTTGGAACGTAGATGAGGGTGCAATCAGAGTAAATCGTTGATGTTCCCGGCCTTGAGGGCCATATAAATCCGTAGAGTTCCTCTCTCCTGCTCAGAGTAGCCGAGGTACTCGACAACGTATTTCTGTCGTGAAGTGTTAGTATCTCAAGGATCAGTCTGATTTAATGACATACACGCGAAATTCTAGAAAGAATTCTGACTTCGCGATATAACCTTGTTCGTTGCTCAGACAATGTGTCATTGGTTTGTGGAGAATGGTCGATATTTTTGATAGCAACAAATCGCCCCGAATCAAGGTCCACCGCTTTAGAGACCGTGCCCAATTGGTCTCTTCCAAAAGCCTCTCCTTTCGTCGTTCTTTTGTACTCCGCTGCTGGAAGGCGTGTGTAGTCGCGCGTTGTACTACGATGGAAGCTCTGTCGGCCCGTTATGGACAGTCCGCGCTAGCGAGGATTCTATGCCCTTTCCTCCGCCAGTTGGTAGTCGTCCTTGATGACCTCCATAGATTTTCCGTTTTCACCCACCGGAGATCGAAGGTGTATTGATCTATTTTCTCGTCTCCGGCGCCGATGTGGTACTCTATGTCAGGAATTGGAACAATCTGACGTAAATTTCCGTGCGCTCGGAAGCATTTTGGCTTGAATTTGGTCGCATGACATCGAGACCGGTTGTGAAACATAGTTTCCTTCGATTCAAGATGCACTTCGAAAATTGGACCTTTGAGATAGACGATCCTGACAGAATAAGAACGGCATTTTCGTCCTATTTCCACAATGACCTCCGAACAGGGCATCACACGAACATGATAGCCAATTTCAAGGCCGAGTTCTCGCTCGATCACAGCATCCTGATCGCGCTGCTCGGTCCGTCTCCACCTGCATTGGTGGCGCGGCTTCCCACATCGCATGTTGATGCACAATGGCTGGGCCTTCAATATCAAAGATGCTAGGTTTAATAACCAGCATCAGCGCTAAGTCTCGAACTGTTACGTCGTTCAACAGGCTCAGTTGTGCTTCACTTCGCCGACCGAGGCTCGCTTACAATATTCCGAGCGGGATGCCACCTCCTCGGAGCCAAAAGTCAAGTCAATTGTTGAATCGCCGCCCTTCCACCAATGCGTGATAGTGCCGGGAACCGTAAGCAATTGGAAGTGGAAATCTTCGATGATGGTGAGTAGGGGTTGAGCGGCAGAGATTCCACGGTTGCCATGTCGATATGTTGTCGACCAAAGTGGGTGGTGTAGGTTGAAGTCCCCGAGCACCAGGAGTTCGTCGTCCGGGTTTGACCTCCTGATCGCTGCCCTCAGGTCAGCGAGTGTGCTGGTTCCTACGTCATTGGAGACGTTGATGACACGGAACTTATTGCCGGGAGTAGAATTGCTCATTTCCAGCATGGTAATGTCTTTCGTGGGGTGTGTTGCGTTCGATTTGCCTGGATCAACGCGTTTGTTAATGTAGAATCATACCCTCGTGGCGTCATCGTTGAGGTATACTAGTTGGAAGTCGGTTTTGAGAGGGTGGTAGGATGTTAGAATGAATGGGTTACCCCAGGGCTCTTAGATCGCGGGTACGTCGGATTCGCGAATCCACTGGTCCTGGAACAGGCGCGCAAAGACGACGTCTCTTGACTTCTGGACGTTGTACTGTAAGATGCGAAGCTCCTGGTGTCCTACCATAGATGTGGTGTCGTCTGAGCACTGTTTGCGAAAGACTGACTCCGGTTGTCCAAGGATTAGGTGGACGGCCTGGAGGTTCAGAACCCGTTTGACGGGCTTGGGTTCCTGTGTAAGGCATAGAGGTCCATCCTGGAGTAGCATTAACCCATCTACCACGTGGCTCATAGTATATGCTGATATTTCTTTGCGTATATCTATTCCTCTTTAGGTGTCTGCCTAGCTCCGATGCATTTACAAAGTAGTCGCCGCAGTACATACACACTTTTATGCATCAGGCGATGTTCTGCTCCGCATCTTTTGTTGGCCAACTGCTATTAATGCCCTGTCGTTCTGAGCATTGGCAGCCCTTGTAAACCACCCATTGGACCCAGATGGGGATCAGTGACCTTTGAGGTCGGAATGGAGGTTTCGTCTTCCGTGATGTGAGGTAATCACTTGTTGTCGATGTCGGTCATTGTTGTCTAGCCAGTCATCAGCGTCCTAGAAGCCAAATGCTTCGTCCATTTAGTCCATCGGCTGCGGTTGAGGTTGGCTGTGCTCCGGCGCTCAAGCAGGTGCAAAGGACTCTTCCGTCACTCTTGCCTTTACTTCTATAGGCGGGTCGAGTTGCTATTGTGCGGGTGCGGGCTGCGTCGCTGGTGTTGCCCAATCCTCTTCGATCGATCGAGGAACGAGTACCTGTGTAGTTATTCCTTCTGTCGTCGTGCCCTCGGCAGGTGCCTGAGCCGTTGAGGGTGTCGACACTTGTGATGTCGTTTCCACAATTGGTAGTGTGGCTGATTGATTGATCAGTAGAAATGTCTGTAGCCCGGCATATATAAGAGTGTCGATTTCTGATTCTGTGAGTCTCGTCGTCTCTTTTAATCGTGGGGTTGTCGTTCGAGCTAGGAGCAGATTTTCCTGGGAAGCGTGCTTGCGTCGTAGCATCGGTGTTATTATTGTCACATTCTTTCGGTCGTGTGGCGTTGTCTTTGGAAGGTAGGTGCCAGCAGATGCTTCGGATCTGTTTGGCCCGTTCGACACGTCCCATCTCCTTCCTGGCCGGGTAGGCATTGCTCCATGAGCTTGAACTGGCCCTCTCTTCTCAGAATCATCCATGTATACGGACCCATGGCGCATTCTCCTGGAAATGTTTCGATGTTTTAAGATGCTGTCTCAATCCTGAGAAGACTACAGCATTACAAGCATCGGAGAGGTCGATATTCAAGCTGAAGTGCTCATTGATGATGTGGAGAAGGCATTTGAAAGCAAGGGCAAAGCAAGGAGCGTCGATCACGACAGCCAGGGAGTCTTTTGCGCCCGTTCTGACACTATGGAATTGTCTGCTTATACGGCATCAAATTCAGTATTGTATAAATAGGAATGGCATCGCATATGTTCGCGTCGTCTTTTCCAGAGCTATAGGCGCCACTTTCCATCCCATTGTCCCCCGAATCCTCAACTCTCGGGCTCGGTCATCGCATCATGGCAATCTTTATTTGAATCTCTACGAACTCCTTCAACTGCATCTGACCTTGACCAAACTTGCCATCTGCGCAACATGCAATCGGCCCCGACGTTGCTTCGAGACTCCCACCCATTTTGATGATACCTGGGATGGCTGGATCTTATGACGGATCCTAAGGAAACTTGAAAAATCTTTCTTCCCCCTCCGTCTCTCCGACCTGCGCGATTCCCGACGGACGTCGATTCTAACTCTATCACCCTTCCCGACGTGTACGCGACAATAAAAACACTTCAAGAGCAACAGGGTTAAGAGATGGACTGTGACGTACAAGTTCGGGGCAAGAATATTGAAGGCATGCCGGCTCCGCGGGAGGCAGAGGTCGCCACCTTCGATGACAGCTCAAGGGGTCAAGTGGTGTCCCCTACAGTATGGCTCCGCCCCAAGGCAATTTGGACGTGTTGGCGAAAGTGACTTACTTGAACGAAAATTCCGCGGTCACTGACGAGGCGCAAGACTTCGTAGGTTGTACTACGTGGATTTTCCTGCACTTTCCCAAGTTATCTGAGCAACCATGCCTCCTCCCACCTCCTCCCAAGACCACCACCTCAGGCCACAAACGAGAACGAGTGAGCGACAACCTTGGCATCCCCGACGAGGGTGAAGACAATGACGACGGCGCTGAGTTTAACCGTGAGTCTATCGTCGTAAACAGACCTACCAACTTTCGAACTGCCTTTAAGAGCCGACGGCTTGATCCTGCCCCAGTACGACGGACGATCAGGAGAAGTGTCCGTCGCCTAGGATGGATGCCTTCGACGCGGTGGTCAATTGGCTCGGGACCCGAGACTGCTCACCGGGATGAGAGGTCACGAAGTCCAGAAGGACAGTGTCCACAATGCGGTAACACTGGCCACTGTCGCTGCCCGCGATGCCCTTCCCACGTCGGTCGCGTCTGCCGAAACTGCGAGAGCCTCAGCATTGGGGCACGTACATCACCGATGTCTCACACGAGATGAACCTCAGATTGACGGTATGAAACAGTGCTTCGGAACTCGGCCCTGCTTGGCATGCGCCCATAGCCCTGAAGGTTGTTCATATGACGGGCCCGACTCCGAGGCGGATGACCATCGAGGGTAAACGCTATTGCAACGGGAAGCATCGCTTGAAGTGTCGGGAGACAATTGCTCGGTTGCTGTCAGACATACGGGCACAGAGGAGGAAGAGGAAACACCATATATTGACGGCTCAGTGAAATGAACCCAGCATGTAAGTCGGAGGAGGAAAAGAATTCGCTCCAGGAATTCGCTCCAGAGCCGGGGCAAAACAGCCGGAACAATTTTTAGACACCGAGTACGTCCCAATGAATGTAGATCCACCACGTTCTAGCTTTGAATCTAGCTAAAGTGTGGGAGCAAACTTGAAAGTCGGTACCCTGACCAGCCACGTCGGCGCCCTTCTCGATCAAGACCTGTAAAACCTTTTCATGGCCTCCCTCCGCTGCCGCCTGTACTGCGCTCTCATAAAATCCACCCAGGGCGTTAACATTTGCGCCTTTGTTCAGGAGGATTTGCATCACTTTTCTCGTCCCCACGGTATGACGCCGCTTGTAACACATTGCCATATTATCCCCCATGAGCATTGACGTCCGCCCCTCTGTCGAGGAGTATCTGCACAACCTCCTCATAGCCCGTGCGTGATGCTCCTTGTAGGGCATTGCCATACTTTCGTCCTTGGGCACTCACCTCTGCTTCTCTATCCAAGAGTATCCCCACCACTCTCTCGTGACTACCTACTGATGCTGCTTGTAGCAGAACGCCACAGCATCCTCCTTGTGCATCTGCTCCACTGTCGAGAAGTATGTGTCTTTTCGTGACCGCCTGTTGATGCCGCTTGTAGCGCGTTGCCGTACTTTCCTCCGTGAGCATTGATGGCTTGGTCTTTCGACTCCAGATCGGCGCGCCCTTCAAGAAATCTTTCGACCTTTGCGTCATGTCCAGTGTCTGCTGCGTAAAATAACAGTGTTTGGCCGTAGTTGCTTGTCGATGCCTGAATGGCACCTTTTCCGAGTCATATTTTCTATCACGTGGCTCTGCCACACTAAGACACTAGCCCATTTCGGGACTAGCCCTGGAACCCCTCTCTTTCCTTTAGTCTCGAGTCCTTCTGACTCTCTACTTTCCACTAAAACGGCTTGACCACCAACCTGGACAGGGTCATTGTGACCTTTCTGCCCGTTCGCTAGCCTGAGTTGTGATAATTTCGATTGCTGCCTCGTGTTCTGGATTTTTTTTTCTCTTGATGTACGAGGGCGGTGTGCCTGGAAGAGTGCCTGGAAGAGTAGCTCAAATTTAGTCAACGCTGCAAGCGCTTATTAGGATACGAGGTAGAAAGGAAATGAACATGCCAAGGCGTAGTAGGTGAGGCCTGATCTCCCTTCATAACATTCTGAAGATTTCTCTATCTGTTCAAAAAGGTTACAGATGCTGCTTTTGACCTCCACCTTCCACGTAATCTACCTAGGATCAATTCGTGGCGACATCTTCTCGACCGTGAACGTAGCTACTGCAAGCGTTTTCCACGCCTCTCTTCGCCGTGGAGTTGCTTTTGTGGAGCAAAACTTGGTGGTTGGCGAATGCAGCTTGGCGACGACCGACTAGGCAGGTGCCTCGGATGATTTGACCAGTTGCAAAGTTAAACCCCCACTACCTACCCTTGGTGCCTAGGGCAGTCATTAGAATTTCTCTTTGGCGGTGATGGTGAAACAGTTTTGGTGGTCGAGGGGCTTACCAGGGTAACGATACGAGGTAGTCGGGCGGGGTTGGGCGTCCAACAGAGCCAAACTTCGACATCACGAAGCCAAAATGATCCCCGAGAATTAGCGTACGGAGCATTCTGTTAGAGCTGGAGTATTTGATTCCCCCGCCCATTCCCCATACCCCATCTATTCTGCCTCCTCGCCCACTTTCCCACACTCCATCTGTTGTGCCTCCCGGTATCCTCACACAATTGATCTCCATGTTTTCCGGACAATCTACGGGGCCTCCCCCCAAACACCACTACAAGACTCCTCGCCGGCAGAATCGAAGCTGTGACCAATGTCGACGCTCTAAACGAGCTTGCGATGCTGCGTTCATGCAATGGACTGGCTGTTCAAATTGTATCAGAACAAGGAAGACTTGCACTTTTGGGAGCTTGCAAAAGGAGGAGGTAAGCAATGCAAAAGACCGATCCTTCCAGAGGGGACATATGCTCGGAACAATAAGCGGCATTCAGCTCCCAAACGGAACAACGAATAGAGAAAGAAGCGCAAGTTTCAGTACCGCATCAGGTGTGGCTTACCACCGCCAGAGCAAGCCAACTGGTTCTGGGTTTCCCCTAGCTTCATATTTCGGCCGGGTGGATAACATCAACGGCTCCCACTGCCCACCCCCGGCTGGCCGTCCCGAGCTCAATTTCTATCCACACGAACCGTTGTCCAATTTTGCCGATGCTTCGACATGGAGCTGCGTTCAAGACAATGGTACATCACATCGCATGAGCGAATCGATCTGTGGGAGTGGACATTCGGATTCACTAGGCGAGGGCGACTCTCTACGCCCTAATTTCAATAACGACGACAGCGAGGGCAATCCAATCTACGAGTTCGAAGAAGTAAGCGCGGCCGAGGACGGAAGCGCGTGGATGGGGATATCGGGACAGACTCATCCACGCATTAATTTACCAGCGCACTATTTGGCCGAGAAAACCAATAAATCTCTCATATCTTCAAGCCTAAAACATATCTATTGCGACACTCTGGAAAACGCTTTGGTGTGTTGGGTTACCGAGCAAAACTGCCCTTATAACAATGAAGGCATCGACCGACATAGAGGGCGCGTCCAGGACTTTAGGGCATACAATGAAGGCACCGTCAGAAAGTACGGTATGATTCGTCGAATTCAGAGGCTGGATCGCCCCTCTTGCGTTCTCAGCGAGCGGCCCCTGACACCTAGGGAACGCCAACTCGCATCCCATGCCCTGCAAGCGTCCATCATGGCCTTCGCAGCCCAATGGTCACAGCTCAGTGGTGCTAGCGCATTTGACTTATTCAATGGCCGGGGGGTTGGAGATAGCAATCAATTCTCCAAAGAATTCCAAAAGCTGATCGAGGCATCCCTGTTCGATTTCGCCGAGGCAAAGTTGGCAAGTTTCGACAGATCTCTTCAACAAACATTATGGAATGAGGCTCGCCGGGCCTTGCAGCAGACCAGCGGCATGGATTCCTTCCAAGTCGCCTTCGCTGAGGTCCTTTTTGCCTTCACGCAAAAGCCGCTCTCGCACGAGGACTTTCAGCGCATGAAGGACCACGGCAAAGGAAGGACGGATTATTATGGTTCCAGCATAGCTGTTGAGGTGGCCTCACGTGGCCTCATGCGGAGCGACGATGAATCCGATTCCCAGGGCCGTACCCGTGTTGGCTGTGAATCATCAACCCGTGTCCGTCCAGGCAGTGTGCCAAACTCTGCCGAGACGCAAGAACTTTTGGACATGGACAAGGATTCACTTCATATACGGGAGTCACTCATGCGGCTATCTGCGAGGAGAGTCAAGCTCAGCGGGACGAATCCAAGGCGTGACAAATACGCTGGAAGCGCAGGGGTGTTTTACTCTCCACCATGCGAAGTCGATGCTGAGGTCTGGCTGGATCGAATGACGTTCAATCAGCTCTTTTGGCTGGTAATGTTGTGCGATACACTTGCAGCGACCATCAATAATCGTTTGCTGGTGGTGTCGGACGAAGACTCCGTGATCCTATCCGAGGACCATGTGAAATCGATGGTCACCTCAGACACCCTGAGTGAAACAGATTTATCCTTTTCATCAGCAGATGCCCACACCAACGTGCCCATGAATCCGTGGGGAATGTATTTCCTCGGGCGCTACGGTCGCTCCACAGGGCCAGTCAATTACTCGCTTGAGAAGGAAGCTGCAACTGCACTTCTTCGGGAAGCAGCGCCGGTAAAGGCGGTGCTGTTTCGCAAGATCAAACAAATACAGAATGCACGTTTTCGGCGAACTCCTACTCAAATATTAGAACAGACAATACTGGACGCCCTAAAAGTCTACGAGTATTGGAACGAACACTACGGCAATTTCATCAGCACCTGCATCGCCCGCCATGACGAGCTTGCCGTACAAATCCAGTCATGGTACTCAGTTCTCACCAGCCACTGGAATCTAGCCTGCTTTCTATTGTCCGATCTCATCGAGGACCTCGACAAAACTGGCGAAAGCGACGAACACCACTGCGCGATACGATGGTCATGCGGGCTTTTATTCCATATAAGGAAACAAAGCGCATTCGAAATGGCCGAACTCGGTAAGGTTGGCAAGGTGAGGGAGGGATGTAGCTTTGGTCAATCCGACGACTTCCACCCTACTGTCAACGACGGGGCACTCCTTACCGAACCATGGACCGAGATAATGATCCGTTCCTTTGCAAGAGTCTCCGAGCAATTTTTGACTTGGCTTGGTGAGATTGATCCTATATCGGGAGAGCCTGCCACACAAAGGTGGACTCCCGGCGATTTTGGACAACTTTACTTGAGTTTGGGCCACTGTGTGGAAGCCCTTCTGGACCTTGGTCGGAAATCGGACATGGCGTTTCTATTGGCAATATCCTTGAAGCGAAGGATGAGTCGGTTCACCAACACCGACTGAAGGCTGTCGCTGTCAAGTTTGGATTTAGGTTGATTAGCATTAGGTAGCTAGCTTGTCTTAATTTGACCCGTTATCCCACCAAGAATTGGTGGTGATCACGATGCACGTGTTAAATACTTAGCTACGTATCAAGGAAAACCAAACTCCAGATTGAACCATCCATACCAACCAGCCGGCCATTAGGCATCGCTAAGTAACAAGCAAGAACATCCTTCCTATTGTAACAGAGCACTTCAGGGTTCGGCGTGCACGTGCAACAACGCACAGAGGCCTGTCCAGCAGGTCGGGAATCGAGAACGCGTTTCTGGGCGGCGCTGACAGGGCAACACCAACACCACCCACCGAGATGTAGGGGCTAGGGCAACGAACGCCTAGTACGGCGGCAGCATTGAGGAGTAGGAAAGGACCGATAAAACACTTGGGGGATGAGTAAACGGCACTCTCAAAAAAAAAAAAAAAAAAACCATGGAATGATACTCTGTTCAACCTGTGAAGAATGGCACACTGTCAACGCTGTAAACTGTTCTGTCCTTCTAGTCCATTTTGGTTTGATATGTGACTAGCCAAATCTGCTTCCTGCTACCTTTCTACCAGCCCAACACAGCCACTTTGCCTTGTTACAGTACTAAGACGGGAGAGAAATTGTACCGTAAATAACTAGGAAGACCAAAGTTCATGATCTTCCCTTTGACTTGTAATTATTAACCTTTCGAAGACGGTTACTTTGCGAGCGATTGTTTATTTCATCGGCCGCTGCTTCTACAGGACCGCATTTTCCGCCATGTGATGCGTTGGGTGTTTTCCAGTACCATTTTGATAGTTGCTACCCCGGTGGTGCTGCATAGCTAAGTACAGGCACTAGGGATTTTGTAAACGCTGACATGCACCCTAGCATTGTTCAGACTTGTTTACTCCCTGATGGCATCTGTTGTACACAGAATGAGAGTGGAATCTATCTGCTTGATTGTGTCTTGTCTCTCTGCCTATTTAGAGAGTCTCTGCCTGTTTATACACACTTTGGCCTGTGATCTGAAGGCCATTTCTGAAACCTTCTATTCCGTCGTCATGCTATCGCAGAACGGCGAGGAAGTGGCGCAGTTGATGGGACAGCCAGCGTCGCAGGTGGCTTGCCACAGAGGCAATCTCGGACCCCGTCAACAGGATCTCTGCCCGTCAAGGCTGAAGGTCGTTAGTAACCTTGGTGAATGAGTTTCCGGGCACGCTGTCTCACAGAGCAGAATTCGAAAGGCGGCCACGACTGCGCGTAGCTCCACAGCATCTCAAGCGCAACTCTCATTCAGTCGCGCCTTCTAACCCTCCAGTATTCGTCGTAATTCTTCTTAAACTTGGTCTGAGGCGTCGCCCCACATGGAGAAGCGGATGAGCAAGTTGAGATAAGGAACATGAAGCAGGAGTTAGGCGTGCGTGAAGACCAAGAAATCGAATTTATCATTCTACCTTGCTGTGGTGTGACGGACTAGGCTTTCACAACCTCAAACCCCTTGAATCCTGTCAAACAGGCACGAATCTCTGCGCTGTAATTGCCCAAGCCGCCAGCATAGCTGACGAATTCGCGTTTTTTCCCAGGAATGCTACCTCCCATGTAAGTGCTTCGCTTCGCTTTGGGAAATAGTGTTGCGCTCGCGAGGCTATCGATTCTTTCCCTCCACTGCTTAGTTGCCTCGTCAGTCGGGTTGATGTACTTAATATTTTGTCTGGTAATCATATTAATCGCATCGCGAATCCATCGACCCTGGACCTCCACACATGATGGACCATTAGATAGAAGCGTAGGACCATGCGCCGCATAAAGGTAAAAGAAATTAGGGTATCCTTCAATGGTGACTCCGAGGAATGAGTTGATGCCCGTCTTCCATTCGTCGTCAAGAGTTGTACCACGGATAGACTTGAGTCCCATCTGAGTTAGCCCGCCAGTGGCGACGTCGAAGCCGGTCGCAAGGGCGATAACCTCAAATTCGTATTCGTCACCATTCGTCATCTTGATTCCCTTCTCTGTGAACTCTGCAATATCGTTTCCAGATTCATCGCTAATGTCGACGATTGTGACGTTCTTTTGGTCCATAACTTCGTAGTAGTTCTGCTCTAAGCAAGGCCGCTTTACACCCCACGGATGCGGTGGTTCAAGAGGGCAAAGGAGGTCCTGTTTGACGGGATCCGTAAGTCGCGCCCGTTGCTTCTTGAGCCAAAAGTTGTAAGTCTCGCGATTTGCTTTGTCGTCAAATAAGAAGTCCTTATAGTTGGCAAGCCAGAGGCGGAAACCACCTATCTTCCAGAGATTCTCAAAAAATGCCTCGCGCTCTTCCGGAGTGTCGTCAAAGGTGTTGCGCTCACAGAAATCATAATGAAAGCCTGCGAAGCATCGATCGCGGAATTCGTGCACCATTGAATAGATGCTTTTAAGCTGGTCTTGTCCCTCCTTCGTAAGGTCTCGTCTTCTCATGGGTATAGTGAGATTTGGTGTCCTCTGAAAGACGTGCATACTCTTAACAGTGGGACCCCATTCTTGAGCAACTTGAACCCCTGAGGCGCCTGTTCCGATCACCGCAACATTTTTGTCTTGAACATCGACGTCTTCATTAGGCCAGAAGGAAGTATGATTGATCACACCTTTATATTTTTCGAGGCCTTTGAATTGAGGAATGTAGCGTTTGGCGGCCATTCCAGAGGCGGCGATGAAGAATCGGGCTTTACAGCTGCGTCCGTCTGAAGTTGTCACTGTCCATTTGCCGGAATTAACGTCGAACTCTGCCGAGGTTACCACGGTTTGGAAAGCAACGTCCTTAGAGAGGTTCAGGACCTTATCAACGTGGGCAAAATACGCTTGTAGCTCCTTCCAGTCTGGATAGTTAGTTGTCCAGTGCCAGGTCTCGTAGACCTCGGGGATGGCAAGCTCGTATATCGGAACTTCGCTGTCAACCCGGGCGCCAGCTGCCAAAAGGGTCAGATTGAAGTTCTAGTATAGTAAAAGATCTGAATTCTCGTACGATAAACGTTCCACCTCCAAGTGCCCCCGAAGGAGGTGCCTGCATCATATACAGTTGTCCGATAGCCGGCCTTGCGCAGTTCGTAGAGAAGGTACGTGCCTCCTAGGAAATGGTTAGTTGAGTGCGTTGCTGGTGCGCCGACCACAAAAGCTGGACCTACCGAAACCAGCTCCAACGATTAGAACATCCACGTCCAAATTATCCGCATATGGCCCCTCATTGCTACGGCGGTGAGCAAATTCTGTCAACTCTTTCCTTAGAGCATTTCCGGGATGAGGGGTGTATTCGCCCATTGTTGTGGCAGAGATACTGGCTGGCTGGATTTGCTGCGTGTGAAGCTATTGTCGTCGTTGTCCACGATTTTCAGTTCTCATTCTTGCCTCTGGGACGCGTCCCTGGAGTATTTATCCTCCAGGTCGTTAGCATCCCTCAAACATTCCGCATTGGGTAACGTCAAGTTGGAAAGAGCAGCCTTGTCTCCGTGAAAAACAAAGATGCCATTGAAATCTCCGCTCCACCCCCACATCCTGGGGACTCGGAGTCCTAGAGCCCTATCGACGCGGAACCGCCGGTCTTTTGAACTCAAAAAAATGTCTCCTCTGACTGCAAATCGTCCATCATTCTCTGAGGCTTTGAAGTCTGCGGGGACTCCAGTCAATGCCAAGTATCTATCTTATACAAATGATTGGACAAGGGGTTCGAGTCCGATATGTTTTCGCAATCTGATAGTCACTTTTGTAGGCAGTTCGAACCTGAGTTCAAGGGCCCGCCCTGAAACCATGGTCCCCCAGCCGATTGTGGTTCGCCGAGTCCAAATCTCTTTGATGCCCAAGGTTCCATCTGCTGATCTAGATGTAATCACCTTCTTGTTTAGAGCAATGATCTTCGGCTCCTGGCGGAAGATCTCGGGCAGACAATCTTCCTCTTTCGTGGGGCTTAATTTTGGGCCCATCCATCAGATACCTCGGTTTGTTGTCCCCAAACCATGGTGACAAGCTCCCGTAACGTCAAATTGTCGCACAAGCACTTGTGGAGCAAATTATACGATGCCCGCTTTTTCTTCAATATCAGATTTTGAGCACACTAGAGAATTTCAACACTCGTGTCCAAACTGCGATGATCGGCTTACGTGTAAGAAAGCAATGGATGTATCTGATGCTAGCATTGTGTATCTTCTAATTCCAATTCAACAGTAAATAGGAAGCGGAGAGGTGGGCCTTGCTGTCTGCCTGACGGGTTCTTGATAGCGTGGTGATGCGCCGCCCTCTTGCAACGTATACATTTCCCATGTATCCCCCCTGCATGTGTCGCAGGGTCTTACATCCAGATGGAGGATTCTGTGAAACTTAGGGAGCGTTAGGCCATCGACCTTGTCAAAGATCAGTGTGACCTCCATGGTGTATTCTCTCGATACAAGGCCCCATTGACTAGACGGCTGTTGGATAAAATCGGGTGCCAGGAGATCAAGTTGAGATATTGCAGTACAAGACTGAGATGGCGCTACCTCCGCGTCTGTGACCGTTGTGTCCTGGGAGTTAAGCACGGGGCGGAAATATATCGACGAACTTTGAATTGGTGAAGTCTCGACCCATTTGAGGACAACTCGATCTGTGTCGAACGACGCACTGGAGTTGTCCTGAGTTGTCGAAAAAGAGACCTTCATACTCCACTTGACTTTGACCCGGCATCTGAGGGACTGCCTGGTATCCCAGGGGAGAACTTCCTTGGCGAAGCTCCGAGTATTCATTGCGAGTGTTAGTGGGAAGGATATGTATCGATTACCCATTTTATGGTCCCAGGCGATAGGCTCTGACTCTCCAAAGGTCATTGAAAGGTTGACAGTCCTTTTGTAAAACAAATTCGCGAAATAACCAGAATTGATCGGGATAGACAGATGAGCCGGCCGTCCGATCGCAATTTGTAAGCAAGGATATAGATCCGAAATCCGTACATTTTTGATTAAGAAACCAACTTGTTGTCCCTCAAGCCGAAATTCTGCCTCGACCCAATATGAGGTTTCGCAGACTCCCTGGGTCACTTTCTGATCATTCAAGCCGCTGGAGTTGGGGAACCTTGAAGCAAATCCAGCAAGAACTGCTGACTGTGGGAGGTATCTTGTTCCACCCCATAGTCTCGGTGCGTGGGTAGGTAAGCTAAAACCAAAGCTCACATTGCTGTTGCCATTCGCCTCATCAAGCTGGAATTGAGAAAGCGATTTGGCATCGGTCAATGTGACGAGATCTTCGATGGATGTGTCTTCTCCCTGGGATACTAGAATAATGCCTGTAGTCAAGAGTTAGATCTCATCGTAGCGGCTGTCTCCCACACCTGACAAACCTCTCAGTCTCACCAGCAATGTGTCAAAAGAACTGTTTCGGACTGCTTCACCTGAGACCACAACTCGACCTCCAAGACATCGTATGGTGCTTTCTTTTCGATCCTTGACATTTGGAGGCCTCGATTGTCTCCATAACCAGCTAGATTCTAGTTCTATTGTGGCATCTATCATGGTGAGAGCAGACATTCGGTCACAACTTGGTCCCGCTCAAGGCTGCCATATCGGCAACATTCGGTCAGCAAGTCTACGTATATCGTACTCTTCACACCTACTCCTGAGGGCTGATGCTGCCACAGATTCATGCAAGGCGCCCCGGATTTCGTAAAGCGGAGAACTAGTGTAGAGGCGCCTGTAATAGTGTGGAGCTATATCTCGGAGCCGTCTTCGTAGTCTGGGGCTGCGGAGCCGACTCTATAGTGCCAAAGTAAATTAAAAGCACCACACAAGCATATTTATCTTAGATGTCCGAGGATTCTCTCCTAGCGTCAAACCAGGTCCTGTATCATCAATCCTGGCTTGGTGCTAGACGAGCACATGGTCGCAATCAGTGGGGAACAAAAACCTCTGGACGCTTCGTGAGAGCAACGATCGTCGAGGGACTTTGTTTTGATGGGCTCTGGGGCCACATCCTCGCCTGTCCTACTCTTGATTGTTGGAACTACTAGTATTCCTCTAGCTAAGTTCGTCTTGACTCTCTTTGGCCGCTCGTGACCAGGTTTTATTCAGCTCTCCGTAACTAATCACCGCCTGTTCGTCCCGACAATCCTGGGAGAGGAGGATCTCTGTTTCTAAGGGCTTCCACGGACAGTCTGCTGACAATCCTCCACTTCCAGATTCCCCGCTTGAAAGACCCCATTCTCCCCAGATTAAAGGCTGATCAGCAGGCTCCAGCATCTAGCGTGAAGTCAATGTCCCCACCAGAAGTGATCGTGGTCATTTTAGAAAGGTTTGAGCTGGATCTCATTTGCTGGATAGTCTGAGCTAAAATCAGCACCGTCAAGTAATTCCAATCACCCGGAAAGACTGGATATCGGCCAACGTATTTGCCGTCCAGAAGAAAGTATAGAAAGCGACCTGAGTCACCAGCTGAGTCTACAGCAACTCCGTCTTGCACCCTTGCCTGTCTCTCTCTCTTGGGACCTAAACTTTCAGACATGTTGAGAAACCCAGAAAGGCTATCTTCAGACATCGAGAGGGCAGAACTCCCTAAGATGGATTCCCAACTTCCTAATGGCAGCCGTCCTCAACACGTTGAGGTGAACACCAATCCTTTCAACAGTGTTCAATCGTCTCTGGGAAATCCCATGCCGCTGTAGGACACAATCACACCCACGGAAATCATACCTACTCACGACCTCTATAGTGCGCTTGCCGGCTTTCTGCTTTCACTTACACCCGTTTCAAACGTATTGATGGGCTGGCGAGGTGCCGGCGGACTCGGTGCTGCTGAAATGTAAGTACATCCCCGGTTCCCGGACACAAGTCCTGTACTGATTCCTGACAGCGGCGTCTTCTACTTCTTCGGCGGTCTGCTCATGGTGATTGCGTCCTTTTTCGAATTTTTCCTTGGGCACACCTTCCAGCTCGCTGTGTTTGGATCCTTCGGCGCTTTCTGGCTCTCATTCGCAGCGACACTTACACCCTACTTCAATGCGGCTACTGCATACCAGCCTCAGAATCCAGAGACGGCTTTCGCAAACCCTACCTTCAACGCCACGTTCGCTTACTTTCCGCTTTACATGGGCCTCTTGTGTTTTATATACTTCATTGCTTCCCTGAAAACCAACCTTGTACTCATGTTGACATTCCTGCTCCTGGTTCCCGGGTTGGGTTGCCTCTCCGGTGTCTTTTTCAAGGCTGCTGAGGGCGTCGCTGCAACATCACTACAGACCGCCGCCGGTGGCTGCTTCTTCACGGTCTGCATTCTATGTTGGTATCTACTGGTGGCGCAGATCCTGGCCTCGGTTGCATTCCCTGTGCAGCTTCCAGTTGGGGATCTAAGCCAGTTATCGACGATATTCCGTGGTCGGTTGAATAAAAAGAGGAACTGAAGAGATCACATGGAGGTTGTAGGGAAGGAATGTAACCTTGTCAACGGACGACAAACTTTCGGGGAAGGGGAAGGGTTCAATCTTTCCGCAGAGAGTTTAATATGGATCTTTGAGACTCTAAATCGTCAATCACTACGGAAATGAAAGTACTGGATGTCGAAAGAATGAATAGTTTAGCAGAAGCTTTAATGTGTGGAATCGGATAGCACTTACCAACTCGATGAAACGACGTTGGTGAAAATTGAGCTCATCACTGTGCTTGTTCCACTGTCGTGCGGCCAACTCTGAATTGGAGTACTCGAATCAATAAAACGGAAATCTCTTGACCTAGGTGTTTGAGATGTCGCTTCGATTCCTCAGGGGAGATTGTTAACCGGGCGCGAGGTCGTGCTGAAGACATGGCTGTAGCCGTCGGCTATTCAAAGAATTTAGACCCGCACCACCTTGGCCTCGAGTTTGTGAAGGTATACCATCGCGCGTGATCCCACCGTTTCGTTCCTCTAGGAAACCCCGACCCGTCTGACACTTATGTTGAAGCGAGTGGTAATGTAGTGAGGGGGTAATCTTGGATGATCTAACATCCAGCGGGACACTAATGACCTGATGTTGCTAATGGGCTAAATTTGCCTGATTTCTTCCCAATATATCGTATGGTATTTTATGGAGAGCATATATACCGTGAGATTTGCGGTGATTAGTCGCCTCATTTATACCTCCCGCGGCGAGACAGCATCAGCAATACCACGGGACAAGTTTCAGTTTCTCAATCATGTCGTTCCTCGTCATTTTAAGTCTAACACTCGCGCTGGCGAACCCGCACTGACCACTGACACTAATCCTATTCAAGGCGTCTATTTCATTCTGCCCACTGCCTTGCGCCATAAACCTCGCAGATTCCCAAATTCTTCTCTTCAACACATCGGAATCCTGAAGCCGAGGAAACTTGGTCGTTACGAGTCCCAGAACAAGGTTTTTGTTAGATCATCGATCTGAAGATTCCGCATGCCTGCAGCATAGAGTGCTTCCAATTCCGCTTGATAAGCTGCTGTGACATCGTGGTGGTATTCAGCATCACAAGAGTAGACGTCAGAAGGGTCCGCACAACCCTGCGGAAATGAAACCAGTGAGGTGAGCCCATTGCCATCTTGACGTTCTTGACCTGTTCCGGCAGGACCAAGCCCTTGAGACATTCGAACGATTCAACAAATGTGCTACGGACGTGTTTGATCTTTCCCGAACACAACGTTGTTTTCCCACCCTTTGCCACTGCACTGGTAAACAGCTTGAAATCAGGCACATAGTCTCGTAGAATGTGGATGGATAGCTCGTTGACTGTGACGCCCTGGAACCCGTCTAGATGGGTGAAAAAGTCTCCCCAATAAACTGCCAACGAAAAGTGAGTAATAACACTTTGGACACCCTGGTGGGATAATTCACTGTGTCGACGATATTCATGGTCAGTTATACCTTGAAAGCGAAGACCCTGCTGGAGCTTCACAATATCCTTAATGTACCTCTTCTCCGCATCTGCTAGATCCTATTGTGCTCTTTCGTCTGCAGCGACAGATTCACAAAGCTGTAAACAACTTGTAGAATTAAAGACTTACATACCTTTGGAAAGTACAAAAATGAGTGTCGAGAGGAGTCCATCGCGTTCCATTGTCCATCCCAGCTTGGACAGGCAGCTGAGACAATTCTAGGCTGAAGAGCCACCGGAATGCTTAACTATGAGTCAGATGAGCGAACACGGATAAGTACAAGGCTGCAGGAGGCTGATTCTTGTACAGGACGACAGCAAGGTCCATGGCGTTGATGTCATAGCCAGATCTGGTGCCTGCGGTCCAACAGTCTGCGACACCGAATGTCTCTTGCTTCAACAAGATTGACTCAGTCTTGGGTACTTTGATTGTGTCAGCTCTTTAGGGATATCATCGAATTGGTTGGGACTACTTAGTAGACTGTTTCAGTGATAAGTGTCAATTGTGGTGAAAACAAGACTTTCATAAAGCAGCTGCCTCTATTTCCGAGCGACGGCGTAATAGAGTGAGTTCTGGGTTACTCTAAAACTGACCGCGTTGGCTCTATGCATTTCGCTGACCTTACACAATGACTATTTTGACATGTCCAAAACATATCGGCCTAGAATCTGGCCCTTTTCCATCAAAGAGTAGACCTCCTGAAGCTGGCTGAGTCCAATAAGCTTATACGGAGCCTTGATCAACCCACGTGCGAAGAAATCGAGAGCTTCTGCTGTGTCACGGCGTGTGCCGACATACGAGCACTTAATTCGCAACATCTTCAAGACGCCCCAAAATACGGAAGCCTTAATATTGCCGTCCGGCGGTAGACCAATTGGGACGACGGTTCCGTTTGGGCGAACGTACTCCGATGCCTGCTCGAACGGCTTTGGACTAGTTGATACGAGGATAACACCGTGAGGGCCAAGTCCGTCTGCAGTGGCATTCTTGACGTCATTCACTATGTCTTTGCTCTTCAGGAAGTCGATGTAGGTATCCGCGCCCAACTCCTCGAGCGACACTAGACGCCAGAACTGTCAGCCATCCAGACGACCCGACCTTTCGCAAAATAACTCAGAGCATATAGGGGAGCGGCGCCCAAGAACTCACTCTTTCCCTTTTCCTCTCCTCCGTCAATGGCGATGACCCTGAGGCCCATCGCCTTTGCGTATTGTTGAGCCAAGCTACCGAGTCCGCCACCTGCACCCACAATAGCAACAGTCTGGCCGGGCTTGCATTCGGATGTCTTCAGGCCTTTGTAAACCGTGATTCCGGCGCAGAGTATGGGCGCGACTGCGGCCATGTTACACCCATCTGGAATCCTGGCAACTGTGGCAGCTTGGGCGAGACAGTATTCTGTCCCATTCGATTAGCCAAAGAAGGGTCTGAAAGAACAGAGTTTGCACCGACGCTGGAATGTCCCGTTCCTGCGCGAACATTAGCCAAATATTTAACCAAATAAAGGTTGAGCGTACGTGGTATAGCCAGAGAATTTCGCCGTGGGACACAGTATGTCGTTTCCTTCTTCACAGAATTCACACGCATGTTTCATCTGTTAGCCATGGGCACTCACAGACGTATCCATTTCTCTAGTTTCATTTTGGGGGACAAACCATGCATATGTTGTTGATCCACTAACATACAGTGTCAGTATCCGGTTTGTTCCAGAACTAAGCAGCTACCAACCTTGACACCCACTTTGTCTCCAATCTCGATACCTTCTGTTAACTCGCCTTTGCTCACAACAACGCCAGCACCCTCGTGGCCTCCAATCAACGGGTCATTTGGGGGAACTACTAGAGGTCAGATTATCCCACAGGCTCGCAACTTGTTTCAAATTGGCGACGTACAAGGCCAATCGCCATTGAGAGCGTGAAAATCCGTGTGACAAACACCGCTGTAGAGGATGTTTACCAGCACCTCTCCTTTGCCAGGTTTAGGAACGGGAATCTGCTTGAAATGGAGCCCTAGGAGCCGTCGAGTAGCAGCCATCAGTTTTGGAACTGAACCAAAGTCGCAAACAATGGAGGGAATACATACTTCCACCCTCATTGACCTGAGCCCACTGTAGTTCTGGAACGGCCATGTTTTTGGATACTTATTTAGGTGACGATAGATGTTTTTGGTTATAGAAGTCCTCAGCGTCGAGTGATTCTTACAGAAAGTGAATTTGCACTTGGGAGATGGGGTTAGCTATATATCTGCGCTTACTTTGGGCACCTTTGTCTCCCACTCATGATGAATTAAGTCATCCCCTCATGTCTTTCAGCGACGCTAGCAAGGTGCTGAATTCATTTAGGCGAAACACGGTTAGAATTTTTCTTCTACCCCGCAGGATGTATGTTAACGCGTGACTCTTCCGCTATACCAATTGGCCGTATTTAATTTCGCTAATGCTATCACTTGGAAGATCATCCTGCTTGGTGTATGTCCGAGTCGCACGCTCGACAACCAATCATAGCGATGCTCACCAAGGACTAGGCATTGGCACTCTGGATGTCCCTCCAGATGTCCAGACCTCCCGATTTTAAAAAGGTCGGGAGGCTGGGGCATGGGAAAGATGGCGCATGGGTGATCGACTCTCACTGCACTATCCATTCATGGAGTTGGCGTTCGTACCCTTGGCCTATCGCGTCCCCCTTGAAAATGGGCCGGTGTCTTGAACGGTTGCGATACTTTCGGGAGAACTTGTGTGTATACTGCCGTGTTGGTCCTCATAACGAAATGGTCATTGAATGAACCCATCACTGAATTGTCCTGATGCTGCAGATAGGCAGATCTCGAGTTCATTACCTGGATCCCCCTCACCCGGGGTGCCCCGGATATTCCCATCGATAGATAGCGTTTCAGCCCCTAGAGTATACGGCATTTCAGCCGGGGAGGCATGAGAATGTTTAACGGGATCGGCGGAAGCAAAGCTACTTTTCCGCGAGAAATATCTAAGCGCATGGCTTAACCGCACTAGTCTTAATGGGAATTAGTGTTGGCGGCTCCGCCTCTTTAGCTATCGGAGCCGCGGTAGCGCCGATCTAAGTTTACTTAGCCTCATCTGACTAAATTCTGACCCACCACACGGAATATCGGCTACTAAAGAGAGCACAGTGAGTTTCGTGTGCCTTACGGGGCTAAGTATGAATCTTATCGTGGAGGAAAGCGAAGTACTGATGTAAAGCAGTCTTTCTCTTCGTACTACTGTAACAGAACACTTCAGGGTATGGGATGCACGTGCAACAACGCACAGATGCCTGTCCAGCAGGTCGGGAATTGAGAACGCTTTTCTGGTTGGCGCTGACGGGACAACACCACCACCAACACTACCCAGAGAAGCAGCGGCTAGGGCAACGACCGCCTAGGACGGCGGCGGCATTGAGGAGCCGGGACAGGACCGATAAAACACTCAGGAAATAGGTAGACAGCACGAAAAAACCATGGAATGATGAGACTCTGTTCAAACTGTAAGGAATGGCGCACTGCAAGCACTCTGAACTGTCCCGCTTTCCTAGTTCATTTTGGTTTGGCATGTGACCAGCTAAATCTCCCTGCTACCCTTCTACCAGCCCAGCGTAGCCACTTTCTTGTTGCACTATATTCTTATAGATAATTCGTCTCGGAGATGCTATTGTTAGAGGTATACTGGGAAGGATGACTATCACTACTTCAATTGGAATGTAATTTAAAAGTATGGCGCCGCTTCCCACTGTAACGTCGTAATTAAAAACCTGTATGCAAGTCCAAGTATTAACCGTTAGAGGCGTTGGCTCAGCATGTCTTTTACAATGCCAATGTCCAGTACGGACTTCAAAGCCAGCACACTGATGAGGGGCCCGATACCCCACCAGCTCTCTTAAGAAGCGAAGTGATCCATGGCCTAATTATTTTGTCATTTACGGGAACACGAAGGGTGCAAAAGGTAAATTGCGTTAGTGTCTCTATGGCCAAGCGAAATCTTGCCATTACTGTTACTATTCCTCCTGGTACTACCAAGTATGGAATACAAATTCCGCTGGGGGTTCGAAAAGACCATGACGAACGCTAAATGCACCACAGAAAGCGGTAATCGAATCTCCTTGCAGTGAAAACGGCCCCTACTAGGTATACGAGGGCCGTTCGGGCTCCTCGATTAGTGTGGCTCTGGCTCATGTCATCGAACCCCTAACCAAGTTGAAGGTGACCCTCGACTACAGTACGGTAGTCGATTTCTTCGAATAACTAGCCAACTCGAGTACCCTGCTCGACTCTCCTAAATACACTGGTCAACCCCAAAATCACCAGGTGACTCTATCCCAGGCGGCATCGCATGTCAGAGAACTACACCTATCTACCTAAGTGCGTGACTGGGAGCATTAACAGCGGCAAGAAATTTCTTCCAAATTGACCGTATCGGTTCCCCGGAGGTCGCTGGCCTTGAATCTCATCACCTCGGCGCTTGCCATAGTGATACTGGAGATCCACCGTTCAAGATAATCTTTAACTTCCCGCTTCGGCAACCCAGCGAGACAGGTACAATCCGAATTGCGATCCGAGCTTTGTCGCTCACGTCACCTCGACGTCGAAATGCACGACCTCCACGCATCTTTGACCGATCGAGAGAGGACGAGGTGGGCTTCACTTGCGCCCTTCCAAAAAGCTGACTCCGCAGAATTCCGTGAGCTACCAGAAAATGGTTGGTTCCAAAAGACAATTAACAAGACGTCGAGGTTCACTCCTAGATACTAAAAGAATGTCCACAAAATGGTCGCTAACAAGGTTAAGTTTCCAGTACTCGCGGCCTATACGTGAGCACAGTGCCTCGCACGCGCTCTTGTCATTCAAGGTTCACAACCACCATCATCTTCCGATATCCTTCTATTCTGGAATCAAAAAGTCTCGCTGACCGTTCGCTCCGTCGAGAACGCGGGTTCTTGTTTCTTTCCAGTGACGCTGGAATCCAATCATTTTCGTTAATACAACTCTCTGGCTTCCAGCACACTTTCCACCGCGTCAAGAACTGGGCCTCGTTGCCGATGTTGCATTTATCGATAATGCTATGCACGTGTGAGAACAGAGTACCGTAGCATCCGGCCCAGCAATGGTGCGAATATGGATCGAACTCGGAAGGACTGTCCTTGTCCTGTTGAAGCATGGCCTCCAGTTTAGCCTCTGCATCCGGAATGGCAAAATTCCCAGCAAACATCTAACGATTAGCGATCCCAAGCAGGAACTCTATCTCCCCGTTGTCGGAACAGCACCTCAGGTCATAAGCTTCGCTTTGATTCCAGAGTTCATCGGAAGAGCTGGCCCATGACCTGGAGGCAGCGCGTAAAGAATTGGATCAGATTGACCTTCTACGTTGCCGTATCTGCATGGTCAGCATTCCAAACGCGGTGACCAAATGTGGCCACGTCTTTTGCAAACCGTGCCCGAACGAATAGCTTGGGGAACCGTCACATAACTGCCCGATCTGAAGAATGCAAGTGGGATAAAAGTGATATCCGGGATATCTACCTCGAGCCTAATAGTAGGAACTCTACTATACTTGATGATGACGGGGAAACCGAAGTGTTGTCGACGGGTAGCGACAGCGAGTAAAGGAGATTCAACCGTAATGGGCGGTGGATCTGGTGCCCGTATTTATTGTAGTGTTGGAAGGGTTGGTTAGGGTATTCAGGTATAGAGTTAACTTTCATGAGGCTATCTAGCTAAAATTCCGGTCTTGAAGTGATCCCAACTCTAGATAAGCAGAAATGGTCGGTTCTATTAAGCTGCTAAGCCTCGCCTACAACTCTCATTTCTTCGGAGTATCTAGCCTGGAGTCATTGGGAGACATATATTTAAATTTCGCAGTGCTTTCGCATCGTGTCAGACAAACGGAGGAAGCGAAGGGGGAAATGTAGTGTATAAGTAGAGGATCCGGAACGAGAGGGTTTATTTTAGTGAAAAGTACTGACATCGTTGTTCACCTGGAAATAGGCTGTAATCATGTCCGAATGGGTATAGACCGACGACTGGCTACCGAAAGATATCGTAATTGCGCACACGTGCTTCATGGCTTTTGAAGTGTAAATACCCATAAAGGGAAGCCCGACATTCAGAATCCAGACAAGGAAAGTCATCACTTTTCTTAAGCTGTTCTAGATGGAGATCGACGTGATTTCGAGTTTTATATGCCGTGGAGAAATGATGGAGTCAAACTTCCTATGGTTCCAAAGTATTCAAGAAGCAGAACATATACTATGTTAGTGTGCGAGCCATATGAAAAGGCTCGCAGTCTAGCGATCGGCTTTCATGTCGAATTCCCCACGTTCGATCCGATTTGTGTCGCAGCGGAACGTCATTCTTGCGGCATATGGTAACAGCGCCGCAAATAAGGAGCCTCGGCATACTCTTCTTCTCCACTCCATTCCACTCAAGCGATCAGGAGGCCGTAGTATGGAGGGGGCTTGCGATCCTGCGACCGGATGAACCGAGGAACGCAGAGCTGGAGCGGGCTACTCGAAAAAGTCCTCAAAGCTCCAACGGCAATCATACATACAGCATGGCCGGCCTGAATTAGGCCGTCGGCATCTCGCGGAGCTTACACCATCTAGATATTAAACTTCAACACTCTGTAAACTGCCTTTCCAAAATTTGAGAGATATTGGTACATTCCAATTTTATATCAGTAAGAACAACTGCATTCCTATCCGTCCCCTCGACCCTTAAGGCTTCAAGAAAAACACGGCGAAGAGAATCAACCAAAACGACAACAGCAATCGCTGCTCACAATAGAGAAACGCCGTATCACCGGCAGTACTTCTTCGTTGGGGAAGTCTGCGAGGAGGACAAAGGCACGAACTTTGGTGGACATGCCATGTGAGATCAGACATACGTCGAATGCCTGACACCGCTGGGCGGAGCCAGACGGGAACACCAATTGGTTTTCGTCCATGGGGGGCGGTCAAAGCAGGTTGGTATGGCATAACACTGGGTCGTGGGAGTTACCAAGTGAGCGGGCTAACATAAGCTTAGAACTGGCTGCATACGCCGGAGGGGCGAAAAGGATGGACTTCCAACTTTCTCCTCCAGAGTTACACCGTCTACCTGATAGACACGGCGTCAAGGGGCAGATCCGCACCGGCCCTTCAACGAAAGCACGTCCATTATCCGAGAGCCTTCGTGGGAGACATGTTCACCGCACCGAAGGTGGCGGCAAAGTGGCCACAGGCGGAGTTGCACACGCAATGGCCTGGTGTGAGTCTTGCAACCATTTACTACCGGAGCCTCATATCCCTGCTCTACTGACTTCGGTGTGTTAGAGAGGGAAGCGTGGTGATCTGATATTCGACCAGTTTTACGCGTCGACTTTACCGAGCATGTCTGACCTGGTTGCATACGAACAGGCTCAGAAGGCTGGGATAACTGCTCTGCTCAAACGGATCGGCCGTCCAGTATCTTAATCATCCATTCGCATTGTGCTCCCGGTGGATGGCTGGCCGCAGACGCATGTCCCCATTTCGCCAAAGCCATTATCGCTGTCGACCGATCGGGGCCCCTTTTGTAGGCCCACATCCACACAATGGCTCAAAAGCGCGGATGTGGGGTCTCGCTGATGTCCCCATGGTATTTTCGCCGCCGATAACAGATCCTTCAGAACTTCGCCTTATCACCATTCCAGCGACCCAAAGTGGTCGATCCCCAGTGGTGCTGCAGGATCAAAGTAAAGGACGGATGGTACACGAGCTGAAGAACCTCCAGAACATGCCGGTGCTGGTAGAAGTTAGCGAGGCCAGCTACCATGCTGAGTACGAACATGCTACGGTAGCGTTTTTGCAACAAGCTGGAGCCTCCTGTGATTTCATCCGGCTAGAAGAACTTGGAATCACGGGCAACGGGCACATGTAAATGCTGAAGTTGAACAACCTGGACATTGCGACAGTGCTGCAGAAGTGGATCGAAGACAGCTTTCCTCACAGCAAAGATGTATTGTAGGCAGGTAGATTTCTTCCCGTACCGCTTGTCATCCTGGTACTAAGAACATGCACGCGAGCAAGCCTGCCTGCGCTCTGTTTCGGATCCAGCTGTGTAATCGTATTTGTAGCAGCCCCAGTCATCATCCACATGCATGACAAAGAAGATTAGCAGCAGAGGCCCGAAGATGGAAAGAGCCTTTGAAGGCATAGTTTCGACGATTTTGTTCGTGTATGCTGAGCAATAAAGCAGGCGGATGTGGTAACTCACCCTCACCTTACCATACATGCCTTTCGCATCTTCCTCGTCGCACCCTGATGGCTACGAGCCGGTCGCATCATCTGCATCATCGCCGTCTTATCTTGACTTCCTCAGGGAGATGCATCCTCCCTAATGATCCTTATGCCACAGTCTCTTTTCCTTTAGGGCCTTCTTCAAGCCTGCCCTACCCAGAAGCATCGCCTCCTCAATCGAACCACGTTTCTGTTCGACATGCTCTAGGGCTGGGAGTCCGCCAAAACTAGGACCAAAGAAGCCAATTACAGGCGGTCCTGTCAGCCTCTTCCAGGTTGAGCAAGGTCGGCATCACCCAAGGCGCCAGGTGCTTTGGGCCCCTCAATTTTTGAAACAGGCTGTGTGCCAGCGCGGGCTTGAACCGTGACAGCTCTCGCGCGAAGGGCGCAGTGTGCGAGAGGTCACATCCGCCGTCTTTTTGAAGTGTTTTGGAAATAAGACTGAATACCAAGTAACGAGCACCGGTGGTAAAGAAAAAAAGCCTTCGAGAGTACCAGAATATGAGGTATATAGAGCGACAGGCCAACGATCTTGATCTGACACAATCACGCCCACCGAGACGCTGATCTCGATTCGCCATGAATCAGCAAGGCTGCAATTTTAACTTTAGATTTTAGCATTCTCAAGACTTCATGATTAGCAACGACCGAGTCCGTCACGTTTAGCCCATCAACGGCTCACCTAAGGGTTGGCACAATCGCTCGCTTCATTTCCATCGCTCTACATCGCCTCTGCATGCGATTGAGCGGCTACTTCTTTACGCTTCTGAAGGTAAGCCTCCAGCCTGAGGAAATGTCGGCCATGCTCAGAACCTGGGTGGACTTTTTGGACTGACTTGAGCCTTTTCTTTCCTCGCCCTGAGTGACAAAGTCCTAAGGACTTGTGGGATCCTTGAGATATCTCTGGACGCGGCACTCCTTCTCAGAATCTAATCGCCAAAAATGCTGGAATATCAAACATGCAAACTTCAAAAGACCGTACCCAACAAGTATGGGCGTTTTCAGAAAAGCTCAACAGGTGCAGCCTTTCGAATCCGAAACTAGAATGCCGCAGAACAGAGATTCTGAAGCCCTGCAGGCAGTTCATACAGCTACTGAAAGTCTGAAACTGTGCCCTAATCGACTCTGGACGGCGCCTAGGAATCTCCCTGACGGCTTGGACAATATACCGCGGCTCATTCCGCTTGGTCAAAAAGTGCGATTATTTCCGCGAACAAGAACGAATCATGACCAATGTAGCTTTGAATTCTGCGAGCTGTCTCAGCTTGATTTCACTTCCGTCGACCAGCGCCACGAATGTACCTCCAATTCTTATGGATGTGAACAACTCAAGCAGCATTTTCCGAGCCAGGTTCTGAATGAAGCTGCGCGACTGGGAGAAGGCACCGCGTGGAAATTCACCGGGGAGTCTTTGCTGAGACGGACCGCTGGCAAAATCACCCAAGGTCAGAATAATGTTCAAAAAAAGGGAAAAGGTATATCTTGAAGGATCTGGACAATGCCATTCTCAGCGCTTTAAAGGAGACACCTGCTTACCACATAGCCACTCAAGCCATTCAAGATCTAAGACGGGGTACGATCACAAGTATCGACAATTTGGCAATCCTTGGCCCTCGTTCTACGTCTTGGAGTAGAGATCTAGCCGTCATCGCCGCGTTGCTTACTGGGATTGAATTCACCATTACCGACTCCCAACAAGAAATCTATCAAACTATTCTACGAAAAATTGGCAGAGTATCTCACAGACACCTCTTCTAGAACTCTGCGACAATGTCGAAAGGCTTTAATTGGTGTCCTGCCAACATACTCAATATGCCTTTCGCTTCACGCCCTGCCTCGCTGCTTGTGGAAGATAACGGCAATCTGGTCGGCACCTGGAAAGTGTTTCAGATTAGCAGCATTTCCAAACGCGTACTGGCTTGGATTGGAGTTCCTTCCCTAACCGGGGTGGCGATTCGTTCGGCTTTGGAAAATCTCAATCAGCATGTCTTCATGGTAGAGTCGAACGGGAAAGACTTCTCTGGGGCCCTGCTTGTAAAAGTCCTGGGTTGTCACAGAATGTTTCAAAGACTCTGCGGCAGAGTTGTAGGGTTTTTGCGATTTCAACCTGCCCAAAATCGGCAGACCAACACTGCTATCAACTTGGAAGAGGGTCTGGGTGATACAGATATGACAGAGCAAGGTGAAGTTAAGGCTTGGAGAACTGTGACATCATGTTTTCTGGATTTCAGAGGGAAGTCTATGCCCATCAAAGCTTCACAGAGCCTCACAAGCTATCGATTGGATTCCAGTATAGTATTTTTCTTGTACCGATAAAGAGGTCACTACTGGGTGCACGAAAGGCAGACCTGCGGTTGCGGTTGTGGTTGCGGATGCCGTTGGATGTCTTTCCGAGAAGAGCAATGCTCTTGACGCTCAAGGTGATTCTAAGGCAAACGCTTTGCATCGAGCTGCTTGGAAAGGCAAAGAAGAGGTGGTTAGTGATCTCAACCAGAAGGTTGATCAGTATGCAGCGGACAAATATGTTCAGCTACCGATACACCTGGCGGCAGAGCGGGGGCATGTCAATGTAGTCAAAGCATTGATGGTTAAGTCAACGGACATCAGAGATGCATCGGTGATGAACAGACTGCGCTACATCGCGCGGCTTGGAGCGGTTCACCGGCAGTTGTCCGTCTGCTTGCTGCAAAGTCTACTCTCAACCTGGTGGACAAAAGCTACAAACAGCGTTACTCATTGCAGCCACGCTTTCCTATTTACCCGTGGTAAGCCTCCTGTTACAACGGGGCGCGAAAGTCAATGCCAAAGACAAGCGCGGCAGGACTCCAATGGCACGGGAGGCGCGCAACGGAGATGACGAGGTTCTGAAGGCATTTCTCCAACATGGTGATATCGAGATCAACTCGATAGATGAGCTTGGACAGACTTCACTGCACTTAGCATCATGGTACGGACATACCCGTGCTGTAAAGCTGTTGCTCAAGCATCCAGCCGTCGATCGTAATGCAACCGACAGTTTTGGACGAACCCCGGTCTTCATGCAGGCTTGTATGGTCATCTCGACGTAGTGCAAGCACTCTCTGATCACAGAGGATTTGGCACTGTTCGCCTACTTGACTTGCCACAGGCCTCTTCCGAGGCTGGGAATAAGTGTCTTGCAGTTGTCGACTACCTCCTTCGATATCAAAGTCCTCGGAAGCGGAGTAGAGAATTTCCTGGAAAGGGCGCTCCAGACAGACGGGATGAGAACAGCAATCCTTTGCTGTGGGCAGCCTCTTGGGGCCACCACGAGATAATTGAATATCTTCTTCATTGTGGCGTGTACCCGGATCCAAAAGCTGAGTCATTGCACCTGGGCCAAAGGCTGAGATATACGTCCCCCTGGAAAGCCCACTCCAACTAGCTGCTAGAAACGGGGATGACAGGTAATTGAAGCTGCTTCTCCGAACTGGTGAAGTTAATATCAATTATTGGAAAGATGACCTCCAGCCAGCTCTATTTTCAGCCATTAGGAGTGGCAATCAGGCTGCAATCGGACCCTTGCTTAGAGAAGATGAAGTTGACCTTGGTTATGACGATTTCAATAATTCATCACCCATGATATACGCTGCGAACACTGGGAATCCCGCAATTTTTTAAGCAAGTGCTTACAACAGGGCGGCCCGCCATCAACTTTGGTGGATTTACGGATCCTTTAGCAATTGCTGCGCTGCGGGGACACGAGCACATGGCGAGATTGCTATTGTCCATGGCAGAAATCGAATTCGACAGTGATGAAGTACTTCGCTGCGCCGCCGAGATTGGCCATGCGGGCGTGGTTAAAATCTTACTCGAAACAGGCAAAGCGAACATCAACGCACAAGCAAGGTACACGCTCATGAAACATTAATGAGCGCTGCTGATAGTGGCCATTATGCCGTAGTCAGTCTGTTGCTTAGTACGGGACAGGCCGATCTCACTTCTTAGGAAAAGAATGGGGAGACAGGCAAAAGGGGACACGACAGAATTGTGAAGCTTTTTGGCAGCACATCCGCGATCTCAACGTCTATAACCAGAAAGTGGCCTTGGAACACTTCGATCTTTGAAGGTGCCTGGTATGGTCTTGCTGCTGTCATCAAAGGACTGCTCGAAATCGCCGAGAACGCCCAGCTCGATCCCAGGGATAGCTGCTTGCGCACAACATTGCTCTACGCCGCCATCTTTGGGGCCTTGGATTTCGTCAAAGCACTCCTTTCATCGGGCAGAAAGGTTGACGTCAACGCACAAGATGAATACCTCAGGAACCCACTTTCATATGCGGCTGAACGAGGCCACGAAAGCGTAGTTGTGGAACGGCCGGCACTTGGTGAAAAACTGGATATCATCCTCAAGGATTCGGCAGGGTATACGCCGCTATGCTATGCGACCTTGCTAGATCATACGCCCATGGAAAATCGGCAGTGGTCAACAAGTAGAGCAGACCTCGGCGGAGTGGACTTAACGTCCACCCATTTGCCAAATATTGGACAGCTACCAATTCGCGGCAGCATCTCTCTGCAGCCCTGGTTCTGACCATACTTGTAATCTCAACGAACCATCAGCACGCTTGTATTCTCTCCCGCCAAAAGAGGAAAATGCCAGGCCTGGATAACTCTCGACACGGGAGCGTGAGTATCAGGATGAATTTATTGAACATGATCCGACCTGGTCGCAGGCTAGGCGCACCGCCTCTTTTGACAAGAAACCTTCAAGGTAAGGTGTTGCGATTTGATCAGCTACGTACAAGACTGAAGCAATTGGCGCTATCAGATAGAATTGTCAGCTCTGTGTCTAGAAGTCTGAAAGCCATGGCACAGTTCCCTTTCAATCATCTTCTCCCACGTCTTTTGGGGAGACCCGGCCGTGTTGTGTCAAAGATCATCGATCATCCCCTTGACTTTCACCACTTTTCCAGTCACATGCTCAATGCTCTCCCAGATCACTTCGCTTTCCTCCCATAACTCGAGGTACTTCGCGTCCTGAGTTCTGATCTTGGTTTTCAGCTCCTCGTTCTCCGTTTCCAGCGCTTCAATTCGCCTTTGCATTTCTTCGATCTTGCAATTCAATTGCATCTCCAGATCCGCGCTGCTCTTCTGCTCATCAGCCTGTCTTCTCGCCTTGCTCTGGATCGCTGGTTCCAGTGAATCCGCATGCTGTCTCAACGCGGCCAATTTTTGAACCCGGAGGGTTGTTTGTTGGCGGAGCTCGTCGCCCGAATGCTTGGACGAGAGGTCTGACTTATATGCGCCGTCTTGGGGCTGTGGCCACGTCATTTTCGAATTCTGCCAGTCATCTTCACTTCCTCCAGCTCTGCGGGAGTCCTTCTTGGCGGACCTGCTCGTCATCCTGGTCGTCCCGAGGTTTGTTTTTCTTTTCTTTTCTTTTCTTTTTTGTCTCAGTCACTTGTGTCAGGTTGGTTAGGAAATCCTAGCCCTAGAGTGAAGTGTTAAATTTCTTCGACTTCGGGCCTCCAACAACCCTATGGCTCGATGCAGCTATTCCTATAAAAAAAATTGGAAAGGTAGGCTATAGTTGGTTGTTGGAGAATCAGCGGATTCACCAGTAGACTCTCGGGGGCATGCTGGTGTACATACAGTATTATCACACAACGCCAGCTCTTCAAGGCTACAGACTTACGGAATCCGTCGTTTCCAAAGAACAACTCGTCTGTGAGAGTTGATAGTTCAGCAGGAGGACGTCAGGTCAAAAGGTCCAATGGCAGGTAGGATTGCTTGCTTTTGCGGCTTGTCTGATGGGATGCGACCAGTGAGGTGCATTGGTGCCCAAACGGCGCAATACAGGGCGTGCACAAAGGCCAAAAAGGGGAATTGTAGGCAACCGAATGTACGTGAATGAAAATGAGGCATTCATGCGAAGACAAGGCAGAGTGTCTCTGCTGAGCAAAATTGGAGATCCCATTTGAGATTATCTTGGGCACCAGAAGACTGGAGACGATGGCCCCTATCTACACCGTGGAATACGAGAGTGGTGGGATATCAGCCTAACAGGCATTCAAGGCCACCCCAAAAGTGCCTGCCATGGAAGGGGCGAGGTGCATGCTCCAGTAGCTCCAACAGCTGCAGATTGCTAGACAGCAGACAGCATGGCAAGAATACGAGTGACGGAAAAGAAAACCTGACCAATGCGTCTCCAACGATCCAATACACGTGCGATCCGAATTACGATGGGAATCGAGCCATCCTCAGTTGAGTGATTCATTTACACCGGTTGCCTAGTCTCGTTCATTTGTAGTCTCTTTGGTGGTTAGCACTCGGGCTACTATTGAAGACCCGCATCGTCATCGTCACCGTCATCGTCACCCATCAAGATGCTATTGTTCAGCTTGGTTATGCAGGGCACCCGCGTCGCAGGGTGAGGAGCCGATTTGACTCTCCCCTGGTGTTTGGTGGGGGGTGGATTACGTGCAAGAGCTGTGTTGGGCTAAAATCTCAACCCTGCATACTGTAGGACTGGGGAATAGGTCATGATTACTGGGCGGTGGTGGCACAGGGTTTTGCTGCAATATTGATTGGGGCTGCGAAAGCTACAGTACGAATGATTTGGAATGGCGCCGCAGTTGCAGGGAAGAACGGCCCCCTTTCCGCCTCAGAGAGCCAACTCGGACCTATGTGCCAAGGTTGATTCCCATGGCTAAAAGAAAGGCGGCAACTACAGCAACCAGAACCCGCATGACAAGCTCGCATTTCCTCTCCACCTCTGCGAGCTTTACATCAAGCTTTGCGTTAGCATCTTTCAACCGCTGTGCCTCATCCTCAGCCTTTCTCCTCGACATCTCGAGAGCGGCAATCGGCTCTGTCTCCTTTCCGACACAGGAGCCTTTACCATCCGATTCCTCTGGGGTTTGTGCCTGCCATGTTATGTTGTGTTGATCTGCCTCCCTAAGTTGCGACGCCAATATTGTGTTTTGTTCAGCCAGATCAATGACAGCCTTGTACATCTGCTTCATACGCATGCGAATCTCATCCAAATGATTGGGACCTATCCCTCCAACGCCAATCCCCTTTCCGGTGCCGATTTCTTGCGGGTTCAAGGGCCTTTCCAAGGCCTCTTCTTCTTTGAGGGCATGGCTTTGTTCGAAACTATCAGCTTTTGAGAGTTTTGCCTTCATAGACTTCTGAATCGAATCATCTCTCTCTTTATAGGTGTCTGTTCGATGCGAATCCTCGTTGTACGGCTCTGTCATGTCTCTTCTTTGGTTTTTCGCAGAGTATTCCACCCATGAACCGGGAATTGAGCCTATTGAACCTGTCGCACCTGTAAATCTATCCCTATTGTCATGCATGGTAGCCGTCGTGTCGGCCTCTAATGTCGTGATCGATTGTCTGCTGACTGGTACTGAACGGAGATGCTGAAACTCCGGATCTCGCATCCGTGAGTTGTGAGCGTCTGGGTTCGTAGGCCGACTGGCTTGTAGATTCAGATTCAGAGGGGCCCATAGACATGATGTTGGTTTAAAATTTTATTGGAGTTGAAATGGATAATACATATTACACAGTAGATTCGTTCTCTTCTTGGCAGGGCCCTAGGAGTCACCTCAAATGGGCCTGCAAAAATGGGGGGATTCTAGGGGGCAGCGGCCCGGTTTGTTGGTCTCTCTATGTAGAGATGACGACCACTTCGCCCATAAAGTCGGCTCAGGCAAGAGTATCCTGTAGGTAGGAAATAAAAGAATAGCTCTATGCGTCAACCCAATCGAATAGGCTCTCCCAGCAAGGCGTGGCTTTGGGGCATTGGTTTCTGCCTTGCAAGCGGTTGGCGGACACATCGTCCACGTTGCATTGCGGCTGAATCAAACCGCAATAATGCTGGCGTCCGTGACAAAGGATCCAGTGCACGTTTTCCCTGGCGGAGCAGAGAAGCGGCTGGGTGGTGGATTAATCGTCGCCGTCGTTGGAGTTAGGGAGATTGATCTTGCAAAAGGCTCTTCGCAATACGGAGTATATTTGTGTTCTTTGGTCTAGCCTGTTGGCGGCCGCAATATTACCGGCACAGCTTCTCCGGGGCCAAGATTTCGAATCGCATCCAAACTCTGACTATCCAATACCCAGTACCCAGCGAGCTAGGTAGCCTAGGTGCCGCGGTGCCAAGAGTCGAGGAATTGCCTAATCAGGCTAGTCCAATGCCACTTCCCCATACATGACAGCATAGAGAGCAACAAGTCCAAATTTGCTGAGTATCCGTACGTGGAAGAAGCAGGGGCTGGTATCCTGGTGGCTACAATGTAAGGCAACCAATGCTCGAGTGCCAGTCCCGTGTCTCAAGCGGATCCAGTTGAGGATCCGAATAGAGGATACAAGTGTGATATTCAGACTGTCTGTGGCAGCAGCTAAGTCGGAGCAGCTGCGGTAGCTGCATCTATCATGCCTAATGCCACATGGTGCTTATCGGGCGGCTACCTCAATGGCATGTGATCTGGGATCCAACTGGATACATCATTTATCGTTGTTTCATCTTCTTGGGAGCGGAATCACCACCCATATACTTGGTAAGATCTGACACATGATAGAACTTGTGCGTAAGCACCATGGCACTCTTCCAGGCCTGGCGACCAGTAAGAGAGGCATTCTGGGCGTCGAGGAAGCCGTCAACCTTGGCCTCGAGCTGAGCTAAGTCGCTCAGGTCATAACGGGCGCGGAGGAAGCCGGTGTAGACCACGATCATGATCCACGACTGGCGCTGCAAGGTGATGGCTGAGAACAGGAGACTAAACCAGATGGAAATCTCGAGTCCAGTCACAACTGACATGGAAATGTTGTAATAGGTCTTGATAAAGACACCAATATTGTCGGCGAGAGAGTCGAGCGTTGGTGCCTTTGCACCTGAAGTGTCAACAGGAAGAGCGGTAAACCTGGTGACTAGATAAAAGATGGGATAGATCCACTGGGGCACAAAGAACGATATCATAGTCGGAGCAAGCACTGACATAGACATGTCATAGCATTTGTTGACAAAGATGCTAATCTTGTCGGCGATAAAGTCGGATGGGGGGACCATCTCCGGAACTAGAGCGGCCGCAGCAGGAGCGACAGGTATGGTCTTGAGTGTGGCCTGAAGCTCAAGGTTCAGATTGGTCTGGAGTGCGGTCTGGAGGGGGTTGAGATTTGTCTGCAGTTTGGATTGGAGCGGGTTGACCACATTGTTCTCGATTTCGGTTTGGATTGTGGAGACTACATTGGTCTGGATTGTGGAGACCACATTCGTCTGGAGTGTGCGGATATCTTGGATGAGATTGGCTTGGATTGTGGGGATCAGATCGGAGCGGATATAGACAGCGACGTGGAAGATGGAGTAGATGAAATAAGGGAGCAGAGCACTATGCCGCTGGGGCATGAAGAGCCAGACAAGGGCCAGAGCTGAGAAAGAGGTCAGCATCCAGAGTCTGGATTATTTTGGGGAGGAGCGCCACACACCGAGATACTGGACAGTCTCGTAGGCAGCAATGCTAAGAGCACTCCCTGGGACCTTTTGGCTGGTTCTGGTGCGGAAACACAAAATCTTATAGACGGCAATGCCATAAGTAGTGGCAGCGGAAATGAAGGCGGTACGGTAGCAGAACCGGGCCGTGCCGTCGTAACACTTCAGGTGGATCCATAAGGAGGTGTATCTTAGAACACAGAGGATGAGGTACAGATGTCTACATTGCCTGTTAGTTATCAAAGCAATCAATTGTGGTAATCAATAGTAGCGTTAGGTGAGGAGCCCTTGGGAAGATGGAACGTACCCAATAAACCAAGCGACTAGGCCAGAGTTAGTAAGGTGTAAGATCAGGGCCTCATTCAATGCCATTCAGGATGCCAAAGTTTGTCACTAGGGGAACATACATTGGAGTGTCTTGACCAGGAGGATCAAACGCTGGAAGATCGTCAGATTAGGAGACGCTTGGGCCCCCATGAGAAAGAGATTTGAAAGAAGACTATGACAAAGATTTTCAGGGTGTTTCTTATCGATGTAATCAAGAGGACTTTTAGGGCGAAAGTTCTAAAAGTGTTACGGGTAAAGCTGAGGCAGAAGGAAGAGGAGGGCGCTCTTGAAGAGAAAAATCAAAGGCATTACGGTTGGGGCCTGCGAGCGCTGGCTCTAATTCAGAGCACACCTGGAAAAGTCTCAGAGCATGTACGTGTCCCGATTTGATTTGATTTTGACATGATTAGGAATAAAGGGCTGGTCGAATGAGGTATTGTTGGGGTTGGTGAGAATATGTAGGTCGAAGAATGGCGGTGCAAAACTTATGCGAGAATTGCAGTAGTGGCTGCCTCGGGCCAACACGAGCCTGGTTCGCTCACCCGTTTGCTTGGGTAGGGCGGTTGCAGAGCCTCTTTCTCAACGCTCAGCTCCAGAGGTGCAAGGTGCTTCCCAGCCCAGGTGCTGTATCCAGGCTGAGAAATTACCACCATTGTCAGCTCAAAAGCTAATTCAACCTTACCAAACCTGCCTCTCCACTGTCGTACTATTATAACTCGAATCCGGTGAATTCCGCACGTCTTTCCTGGAGTCGTTAGCATCTTCTGGTCAAGCTAGAACCGTTGCCCCTCAGTTTCCAACCCAAGTAATATTTCGACCTCGTCCAGGACCATCCCACACTGCAACATCCACAAGGTTCAAATGTATCGATGGAAGTGCCTGGAGAAAATCGCCGGAGGTCGCCATACTTGCAATTTGACTTGCATGGTGGATGACGACGAGGAGATCAACCAAAGGGCTACTGCGATTGAGTTGCAGGTACACCAGCTTCATGATATACTTTTTCACCTTGCAGATAATCTAGAATCCTCCAACAGAACGTTTGCTGTTCCAGCGAAAGGGTTTGAAAGCCTCGCAAGACTATTGGAGCAGATTTCCCAGGCCGTCAAGGAAGCAGAAAGAAACGCCTCATCCTCTGAACAAGCTGAGGGTGACAAAGGGCGAGAGATCAGACTCACTTCGGAAGCTACAGGTGTTGCTGCAGTTGCCGCGAACGTAGCAGCAGGCGCAGTAGGGGCAGCGACAGAGGCTGCATCTAGTTCTGCTGACCATCGCGTCGCAAAGAGAGCCGTGATTGCAGCTGTCTGGGCTGCTGGGTCTGCGTATCGAGCAGCTGGGGTGGCGCGAGGTGCGGCAGCAGCGGCAGAGTCTCTACCACCTGAGGCTCTGCTCGAATACCATGGCGAGGTAAGATGGGGTCTCGATCTCAGAATCCTCAAAATGTAATGAAGTATCCCAACTAACACTCCTGCTTCCTATCAATTAAGTTTGCCGAGGATTATGTGGAAGAATTTGAGCAGTGGAACAACTTCTGTCGACTCCTGTTTCGCGATCAGGAGCTAGAGTTGCACACGTCCCTGTATCTACAGTTGTCCGTTCTTGGCCAAAGAGCAGTTACACAAGCGGCTTCCGCCCAATGGGACAGTATCTTGGAATTTCTACGCAAGATCAAGGATCTTGAGATTGGCAGCCCACCACTCGATACTCTTCTCAAACTGATTCAATCTGGCAACAGGAGCCTGAAGGATCTGGTAAGGCAGTATGTGCTGGACTCGCTACCATTCAGGGATCTCGCAGTCCTGCAACGAGTTTCTAGGAGTGACGCTGCCGTTGCACTGGGTCTTGGTGATGATGCTGATCTTCGAGCAAGAAATCTTCGGTTACGGGTGAATATCCTTCCCATCTTTATTTCATCAGGAGAACAGCTCACATCGTTACCAGCCTGATCTTTTCCAAGGGAACAGCGAGACCGGTGGCGGCGGCGGGCCTCCATGTTCTATTTGTTGTTCAGAAGAGGACAGTGAGCTTGTCTCCGGCAAAATCGATCAGAATGCGAATGACGATTTTCTCACATTCCCGGGCAAGTTCAATGGCAAGGCCATCAAGCCCCTCATCGACACTGGCGGGGGATGTAACCTCATCAAAGCGGAGTGGCTGAGGAAGCAAAACATTCAGGTCGATGAATCTTCGCAACGCTTTCAGACGCTCTTGATGGCGGATGGGTCCACGTCAACGAAATGCCCCTGCGTTGAGGTGAGATGGAGCTTTGATGGGAGGAAGAAAATCTGGACGGATGTGGAATTCGTTGTTGTCGAAGGATACAAATATGATGCCCTGATAGGGCTGCCTTTCTTGAAACACACTGAGACTCTTCACAATAGCGCGGGTCGCTTGGTTTTCCCCGAATTCAAGGGCGTCCACGCGAAGAAGGATTCCATCCCACTGTACAATTTTGGCGTCAAGGCCAGTACATAGGCAACAATAATTTACCGTGTGATTTCTCCGCTTTGACAATTCTATACCTCGCTGTCAAGAATAGGTGTAAGATCCAGCAGGAAAAGTGTCACAATGACGGGCCTGGGCTGCAAGGCCTTCGATTCAATGTATGTAAAGTCCCTTGACGAAAATGCCTCCAACGGACCCCTCAAATCATGGCCTCCCATTCATCTACCCACCCGAAGTATCTGCATCAAATCACAACATCAACTCCAAAAAGCTCCATAGATCCACAGGCCGAAGAACCCACAGGCCAAAGATCCCTAAGGCAAGGAAAACCTGGAATATCTGTACCCATTTTGAGACTTTTCTTTGCGGGAACACTTTATTCTTGTCATCCGTTGCTGCAATGGTCCAAGGGTGCGTGCTTCCGAGTGTGGTCTCCAGTCCAAAGATCGCTGTGGAGTAAAGACGCTTCGCTTCCTCATGTTGGCCACGACCCCTTGCAGCCAACAAACCAGCTAAGCTCACCTGCGCTCTGTATGTCCACGGATGGCCGTCGCTAAGCCTGAGATGGTATCCATCTATCGCCTTCTTGTAAGAGTCGATTGCCCGGTCAGAATCCCCGAGACCCTTGTACGCGTTGCCGATATCCTCCAAGCACATAAATATGTGGGGGTGGGTTTCCCCGAGGACGGGTTTCCACCCGTCCATCGCCCTCTGGATAGCCTTCAGCCCTGTTGTATTTTCTCCTTTGTTGACACAGGCACTGCCATACCGGTAAACGGCCATTAATGTTTGCGGATGCTTCTCACCAAGGACGCCCCCCAGAGTTTTCTGGATGTGCTCACACAATTCCAAAACTTGATCATAGTCGCCGAGTTGCTGGAGGACATCGGCGCGACCCTGAACGGCCACCAGTGTTTGATGATGATCCGCTCCAATTGCCGCCGTGAGCCCTGATACTGCCTGCTCAAAATGCTCCAAAGCTTCCTGATATTGTCCTTGACAATTGAGAACACTGCCAAGTCTGCATCTCGTTTTGAGAGTTTCGGCATGATTCTCGCCGTACTTCTTCCCATAAGCTTCACATAACTGCAGGCTCATTCCAAGTGCTTCGCGGTACATTCCTCGAAGCTCAGCTATATGGGCGGTGCAGACCTTCGCAGCGAGCATATGTTCATCGTTTTCGCCTAGCTTTTGGAGCCCTTTCCGCGCGATCTCACACCATTTCACTGCGTCCTGATACTGCCCTTTGTCGCGCAGCACTCTCGCTATATTGGTAGCGGTTGGAAACTCCCCGCGTAGTCCCATATCCAGTCTCTTGAAGGAGGAGTGTGCCTTCTTGTAGGTTGTTTCAGCCTCATCGTATTTGGCCTGGCGCAGTAAAATGTCTGCTATGCCTGAGTATTCGCTGGCAATCCAAGGATGATCTTGGCCTTCTCCAAAAATATCCTCGAGACCTTTCAGCACTTCCCGGTATGATGCCAAAGCATTATCATATTGCCCCAGTCTTTCCTGTATGCTAGCAATGCTGTCCATGGTGTCAAGTGTTGAATAATGACCTACACCTAGAGACTTCTTCTGTTCTTTCAAAACTAAGGCATGGTGTTCCAGAGCCTCCTTATATTTGCCTTGCTTTTCGAGAACCGTGGCAATGGCGTGAAGTGTGTCAAGTGTGTTCGGGTGATCTTCCCCTAGACTCTTCTTTCTGTCCTTGTACACCTGCTCTAGTCGTACCAGAGCTTCTGGATACTCTCCTGAGTCTCTAAGGACACAGGCGAGTTGATGCTGCGTCTCGAGAGCCGAGGAAGGCTCTTGCTGCCTCAAAACCTCCTTATATTGCGCAATAGCCTCGGTGTACCTGCCCTGTTCTTTGTACACAAAAGCGATATTGTGTGCCACGGTAAGTGCCTCCAAGCTTTCCTTACCATGTTGGGACTCAATGCCATCCTGGGCTCGCCGGCACCAGCTCAGCGCCTCATCGTATTTACCTTGCAATCTCAGATTCACCCCGAAAGAATCCATCATCTCCAAAACTAGGGGATGACCAGGGTCACCTATACTCATGAGACTCCGTTCGTAGAGGAGACTAGACTTCTGCACGTAACCAAGATCTGTGTACACTCGGGCGAGATCATATGCGGCCTTCTGATTCCAATAATCCAAGCGACTATTACCAGAAGGTGGTTGCGAATTGAAAAGTTCCAAGCATCTGTTGATGTGCGGCAAGATCCGACGCTCGTAGGCACACTTGTCAGCGCTCCTGCTGTCACCAAAAGCGAACGTAGACCTGATGATATCTATCACTAGTCTAGAATTTTCGAGTTTTGCATTCTCTGTGTGATCGCGAGCCCATTCATGCAGAAGCTGGTGGACGTACAAACTGTCATCCTGCTTCTGACCCACAAGAGAGAGGGAAGTAAGTTCTCCAAGAGCCTTGTATATGGCTCGGTCAGCTGTCGAAAATTTGGTATGTTAGTCACCCGAGCGCCTGCTGTTTGGTGGAATAGAAGCATACATGTCATCCAGGCTATAATGCCCTTTCCTCCCAACAGAAATTCCTTTGGGATATCTTCATTGCCCATTAATGAAATTAGCCAAAATAAATGTTTTGCACTTGCAGTGAGCTTCTGGAGTGACATTTGCCAGACAGTTTGTAGTGGCTTCAGTGATTCGTCGAGATTCTCCAGGTCTTGTGCATATATATGAAGTGGCATTGGAGCCTTGCATAAGAATGCTCCAATAAGAGTGACGGCGAATGGATGTCGGCCAACTGCCTCAACTAAATTCACTGCATCCTCATTTTCTATGTATGTTAGATATGCATGGATGACAGCGCAAATTCAGTGAGACGTACCATCTGGCCCAATGTCCTTCCCCAGTATTCGGACTAACAGATCCACCGCGTCGTGCTGTTTGATGCCTGTCGGAACCTCGATTCTACTGCAGCCGGGGTAGGAGTTTGGACTGCAGCTTGTAATAAGCACATGACCAAAATCTTGAGTTGGCAAAAGCTTCTCGAGATCGCAGCTTGCCGGGTCATCATAATTGTCCAACACAAGCAACCATCTGTCATTACACTCTTGACCCAACCAATTCCTGAGACACTGAGCACAAGATGATTCATCCACAGCCTTCAGTAGGCTGTCTTTGCACGTAATATTAAGCACCTCGAGGCCGAGCGAATGAGCAATGCGCCGATAAGTCTTGGTCGAAGGTTTTCTAGAGCGATAGCGAATGATTGACTCCACTGCTTTGCGAGTGCTAACGTCCATCTCAGACTCATTTTTGGTGTTGATCCAAAAGATTGCGGAATATTCCTCGGTGTATCTGTACGCATACTCTAGTGCAATTTGTGATTTTCCTGTTCCTGAAGAACCTGAGAGCGCTATTTGTTGACGATCCAGACGGTGTCCTGTAGCATTTTTGGCCCAAAACAGCCTCGAAACTTGTTGGAGTGGTTCCTCTCTTCCTTTGAAATACCGGTTCCTGTGATACGGGAGTTCAACCGGAATTCGATATTTATCACCTGGTCCAAGGGGATTGTCAGAACTTATTACCATTCAAGAACGAATATATTTTACCTGCTGGTGTGACAGACAGAATTTCCCTGTCCAAGTAGCGGCGGGTATGCTGAGAGTACAGGGTGTCGGGGTTGTACTGGTCGCCATTGCCAATGGTGTTATTCTGAAGTCCGGAGCTAGCATTGACGTTTCGGGTGCTACTGCTCCTTTGAGTAGCATGGATTGCAGGAACGAGGAGCAAGATCTCTTTGGCGCACGCAGCCGCCGTGGCAGCGGCGTATTTCTGCCAGTTCTTGTTCTTGTGGGAATCTGCATAGTCGCTGATTCCTCGGATCACGAGACCCTGGTAGTGGCTCAATACACCGGCTGATTCCATTTCAAAGCAAATCATCCCGTAATCTTGGTACAGGCTGTTGCGTTTTTCACTTGAGATCACCAGGGTATTAGCCGAGCCGATTGTGCCAAAATGGATAAGGGGTGAATCCTCTTTTCGTGACGCTTTGCTGCCTCGATCTTTCCGTTGCCTTGACCGTTCTTTATCGCACAGTAATTGACAGGAGACAGCCCGATATGTATGGGAGTAATCATCATCAAAAAGAAGATCATACTCCTCCCCAGGGTCATGGAAATCCAATATTTCATGGTCCCCAATATTGGCTCGTAAGTCGCGGAGAAATTCAGGGATTCGGGTGCCTTCCTTTAGCATATGACGGCTTCGGAGATTGTTGACTGCAGTCAGAAGAGTGGAAGACGGATGGAGCAAATGTCCACTAACACTCAGTTTGCCCTTCTCCACCCAGGCGCCGAATTCATAATGCTTCACTCCTCCATCATTATTCAGTGGCACGCCAACGACCACGTCGCCCAAGACGATTTGCTCCTGCAAATCTAAACCATAGTGGGGGATCCCACCTGCTATGCCAACAACGAGAATATGTTTAATACTCTGAAATGAGCGGCACATGTGCTCCACGACCGAACTGGCGGCAGCGGTTCCAATCATCGAGGACACAGCCATCACAACAAAATGGGGTCCTATTTTCCCCACATGATAGATGCCTTTATCATCCGGTATCGACACTTCTTTATGGTCTTCCAGAATCGCGATCGCAGGGGTGAGCTCCAAAGACATAGGAGCGATCCACCCGACAGTGTACTGGGTCGGGTCAATCCGGGATGTCATGTTTGTGAGGCACAATCGCCGCTTCGGCCAGTTATCGCCTCAAATCCAGAGGTTAAAAGAAACTCGATCGAGAATGGAAAGAAGAAAAGAAAACAGCGACCGACGGAGAATGAATTATCGGCGCTCGAGATTCTCTCAATGGGGAGTGACAGTTGACGTGTCACAATTTAGCCCCAGAGCCAGCATTGTATTGGGGCTTAGAGCTTCCAATCTTGGGGGGGTGGGGGTTTCCTCTGCATAATCAGGCAGCAACGCGGCTGAATCGTCCACGGCTGCGTTGTACGATGCAGGCGAAGAACAGTCCAATATCCACCAGCAACCTAGGTGCCAACAGATTGACCTGGGTCACCGACCAGCGTCGACATGGAAACACCGCAAATGTCCTGTACAGACCAGTCAGCTTGGTCATTTGGATAGAAAGGTTCGTCCAAGGACTTTCTTCACCACGATGAAGGTGTGTACATGCCCAAACACGCCCTATCAGAAGATCGACATTGAAGGGAACAGTATTACGACAACGAGAATGGACAAAGGCCACACACATGTCCCTCGAGTTTCCGATATTGCTGGCAATACCGAATTTCCCATCAGATCCAACACACGCAACACTGTAGGTGGATTGATAGGCGTACCTTCGGACTGCTGTATTCAATATGTCGATCCTAATGTGGCAGCTAGTGAGCATCTGGTCCTTTTCTGAATTGGTGCTCATGTTAGCTTTGAAGACTTTCCCTTAGGATTGAAGGTCAAGAGTGTATTTCCACATGGTGCCGCTCCCTGGCCGAGGATAGCAGCCATTCAGACTGTGCAGACCGTGGTGGCGGCCTGGATTTCTTTCTCAAAGTAAATCGCCCTGGCCGATTGACTACTAGCCGCTAATTTTGTGAGTTAAGCTTACCAAAATCGCAGTCGGCAAGATTGGTCTGCAAGGTGAATATGTATCAACATCTGTAATATCCCGAGCCATTCCAGACCTAGTCCAGAGTGCCGATCGCTGTTGGAACGTACGCTACCAACAGCAATACCCCCTTGCCAGCTTTTTCAGCATGACCGGCAGTGTGCCGGATTCGAATTCATTCCACGTGAAGGTTGTCGAAATGCATTCCAATGGATTTTCGCCCAACGGAAAACATGGATTTTCAGTGCCCACCAATATAGCTGCATGCCCCCAGCGGAATAGATGGATAAGCTCCTGGGAAAAGTCTTCGTGTTGATGAGCAGTATGTTCGAGACAATGACGAAATGCAGCAAATGCATCAGGCAATCCTGAACAAGGTGATTCCTAGGCTCTTACGGCCTGTTGAAAAGCCCCGGGCTGCTGGAGGGGGGGGTTCAATTTCGGATAGTGCATGGAGGCATGTGAAATGGTGATACCTCTATCAGGGCGACAACTAACAAGCCAGTCATCTTGGGACGTTAGTGGCATGTACGCCCACAATAAGTGTAACGTACCCGGTCACCGTCAGGCCTTGACTTGCTGATAAGCGCATATGAACTAGGAGATTGGGACTTGCCTCGTCATCGAATCGCTTTTATGTCGAAGAATATCGAAGACACTTCCAAGCTTCATCCCCAAAAGAGAATTTGGAAGACCACTTGGTCCATCATCGGCTTCGTTTTAACTTGACTTCATCTACCTGCGACTTGAACGACATGTGCTTCAGAGAGCTGTAAGATGTCGCGGATCTGTTCAGTGAGCCCATTTATTGATGGACAATACAGCGCAATCAAAGACAGGCTGTACCTGACAACAAAATATATGGACGGCTATCAAGGGCCCGAGCAGAGAAAATGAGAGTCCTAAAGGATCCGCATTGGATGAGTCGATGAGATTGAAGCAAAATTTACGGTCCACCATCGACCGAAGCAAGGACGATGATGCCAGGTATTTGTCCAAGTTCACAGACTTATAGTAAGCTTCGAGTCATTTACACCTATAATCCTCAGCTGATCTTTCAATTCAGGCTTAGACGCAGGCTCTTGGCCTGACATATATCGACAGAGCCGTGCTTGTTCGACTCAAGCTTGTCCCTCAAGAGCTGATTCGGAACCACTACGGCTTCATTTGGAGAATATCTTCACCCGTCTATTTTGAAATGGCAAAACGGTCCGAATCCCGGCCTGCGGGAGAGTTTCTGAAAGTTTCTCTATTAATCGTTGTCCAAGAGATCCAAACCAGGGTTCTCTTGCTGATCTAATGTGTACGTGATGATTCTGGCTTTGATTCTGGCGACATCGTCCGAGAACAATGAACTGTACAAAGTGACATTTTCAGCCCCGCGCCTTTTTCCAGTGGGTAACTCTCAAGGTTTCCTTCTCGTGTATCTTGGACAAGGAGTGGGTCGTCTGGTGCTTTTGTATGTGGTTTCGTTCAGTCTCCAGCCAAAAAAGAAATGGCTTGCGAATAGTGTCTTTGCCGACAATACTCGATGGCTGCTTATATTTGAACAACTATTGATGGGCTAAGTCGGAATCACATCCAAAAATATTACCCCTTCATGACTGGGAAATGCGGCCGAGTATTACGAGAACCTAGGCATAGACTGCGCCTGGCTCGTCGCTTATTGTGGCCAACACTCTCCTCCTTTCAAGATTTCCCTTTGCTGAACAGCGAAGACTCTCTGGCACTAGAAATCTGCATTTTGACCATCATTAGAGCCTGACCCGCTTCGCGGGCCAGATTCGTGACTTCTAATGTACTCTTAGTCTCGAATCGCCTCGACATGACGCATTCACAGTTGTCAGTAACCTTCTTCCTCTCCGCCCTGTCCCTCTTTGCCATCTTCCTGTTCGCCTTCTTCGTCATGAAACTCCGCCGGGGGCGGAAATTCCGATAGAGGGGGGTCCACAGGATACGCGTGATATGCGGGTGCAGGATTGGATTTGAGTAACAAATATCGATTATCATGCCACCAGCGCATAGAGCAATATGTAAAGAACAAGTGGTATCATGACCGGTTGATCAATACAGTGCCGTCATGGATGAAGCGTCCAGGAACCGTTCAAGGATGGCGCTCTAGACTAACACCAAACGTTTATATAAACAGGAATGGAATCACGGAAGGACAGGATAGACAGACATCTCAGAGGATAGGAAAATGCGATCAACCATCTGCACAGATCTCAGTATCACAGGAGTCCTCTAGGCTGTGTACAAATTTGAGGAGGGAGTAAATGATAAGCATTGCTGGGCTGAGACTCTTTGCATAGATGAAGCTCTTGGTCAGCGATTCTTAGTGCACGCCACTAAATATGAATGCCGATTTCGTCGTGGAGAATTTCGTGCTAGATAACCTAAAGTTGAGCATCCAATAAATCTTGAAATCACGATGAAACTTGTCTCGTTCATGATCTGTAAGTCGAAATTGAACAGAGTTAGATGTGCTCTGGGATATCACGGCCATTTTAGGAGCTACTGACCTCGTCATGGTCTGTTCTCTTGTCACTACCGGCCTGAAGCGATGGACATTCGTCTGAAAGAACACAAATAAATGCTGGGGTGCTTCCAGAATGAATTTGAGGTTCTGGAAAGGAGTGCGGCTGCTGGTGGAGGCTTCCAAGCACACTGATTTTCCTCGAATGGAGTATGTCGCACAGTACCACAGTCATTGCGACTGCAGCAGTATTTTGAGCCTGTTACTGAGCGAGACATTGAGTGGAAGGTTGAGCGCGAGGTTGACTGTCAGGTTCGATGGAAGGCTAAGTTGGAAGGTCCTTCGCGAGTAGTGTGGCTCATCTTGAATCAACAGTCCTGCTTTAGAGTAAAACTCTCGAGACTGGTACGTCTAAGTGTAGTGCTTCTGTGTATCTAGTTAGGCACAGCAAGAGAGCGAAATGGATCCAGACGATGCGGTGCTAGAAATTTAAGTTTAAATAGTCTTAAGCGCAGGAAGACACTATAAGCTCACGGAGTTTCAAAGAGCGAGGACTATTGACAGACAATAGAGAATAGAAAACTGCTCAAGCTGAACCGGCTCCATCGTCATACTATGAAGGAGTAAACGAATACTAGGTAGATAATCTTAACCTACCTGGAGTATACATTTGTCAATACAAGATGTAGAACGTTCCAAAGTTGTCGCGTAAAGAACGGTCAGTGCAGCTCTGCCCCAGTGAAAATGCATCTGCCCAGACCCACCCACTACCCTATATGGAAATATCCACACCTGCTAATTACCATAAACGGAAACAAGTCAGCCTTGAATGCCTCACTCCTAGGCGCTGTCAAAAACAGCAAAGCATCGAACCTGGAAGCGATTCTCGGGCAAATCTCTTTAACTAATTGAAAAGTACATATATTGCAACAAGGCGACGTGGCTGTGCTGGGCTGGTGGTGGACTGGCAGGGCAGAGGTCTGTCAGCCCACATGTAAAACCTAATTAGATCGCTGGGAGCAGGACAGTCTACAGTGCTGGCAGAGTGCTATTCTTGACAGTTTTGAAGGAGCATCGTGAATTCAATGGTTTTGGTGCCGTCAATCTATTCTTGAGTGTTTGATCAGTCCTGTCCTGTTCCTCGATGCTACCGCTGTGCTAGGTGCGCGTAGCCCTAGCTGCTGCCCCCTTTGGGTGGTGTTGGTGGTGGTGTTGTCTCGTCAGTATCGACCAGAAACGCGTTCCCGCTTCCCGATCTGCTGGACAGACCTCTGTGCGTTGTTGCACGTGCACGCCGAACCCTGAAGTCCTCTGTTACAATATGAAAGTACAAGTGGCGGTCTGTGAATAGTAACTAGGAAGGCGAAGTGACGCCCATCTAGCCCCTAGTAGGGAAACGACATCTTCAGCCGCTTCCGCCATTCATTCTCGCGACGCCAGGGAAACAGATTCGCAACCTCTCCGTAGGTGCCCTGCGTAAGAATGGTGATGCTGAGGTTTAGAAGGAAGCATAGCCTTCGCCAACTAGCTTTGCTCTAAAAATCCAGAAAGAAAATACAATTCTTTTTTTTTCTTGCCCTTTTTGAAACGGAGAACCTAAAGCAGCTTCGTCACGACGACAGCTGGTCAAATTGCAGTGGTGCAAGGTAATTTTCCTCATTGATCGGCTCAGATGGCCCAGTGATCGTCGCTAGTTCAGTAGGACTTGCGTGATCCAATGTTCAACATGCATTTTCCGCCTTATTACTTGTCATGCTAAAGCAACTCTCTCCGCATTATCTTTCCCGTCTTGTAACATATTTTGATCCAACTTCAAATCTCTCATAAGGCTCGCAGCAAAAGCAGCCGCCGGGATGACCGTGAGAAAGGTCCAAACAGTCTTGATGCTACCAGCCATGACACCCTGATACGCCGCTCGCGCCGCAACTTGAAGTGTCTTGATCGTATCAGCCGTCCCTTCAGCGTCTTTGGCAGGGATGAAGAACCGCGAGTGAATACGACCGGCATCCATATACCTCTGGGTTAACGTCTTCCATCGGTTTTGAAAAACGGTCCCGCCGGCATACCCGACACTCACTCCACAGACCTGACCTAGAGAGGCGAAGAAAGCAGCCATACCGTTGACAATGCTGATACCGCTGAGCGAGCGCTGTTGGGCTTGTACCGCGTATATCCGTCCGGGGAAGAGAATACCACCGCCTACAGCGATGATGACTTGGGTAGCATTATTCTACCAGCGGAGTGGACTCTTTGGTCGAAGAGGTGAGCAGACCGAGGCTGACAGTAATCAAGACCCATGAGAGAAGTGTGAGATACTTAAATCGATGGATGGTCAGCATGAAGATACCAGCGATGGCTGCAGACGACGGGACCGACCCGATGCCTGGAAGAGTCTGGACAGAGGCCAGAAGCAGAGGGTGAGAGCGAACTATGAGAAACTTCGGAGACGTCAGGTTTCGTTACGACACATAAACGGAGGGGAAAGAAAGGGTTCGCTTATGGAGAGCATTTGGAGCATACATAGAGGATCATGAAGTATGGAGTCGTCCATAGCACCACACCGTCGACCAGGGCGGAAAAGAAGCCAGAGATAACGCTTCGATTATTGAACATCTCGAATTCGAGCATTGGTGGTTTCACCCGTGATCGCTCATACCAGAAAAACATCATTATGCCAAGACCGCTGAAGATATGGCTGCACAGAATCGAGGCTAAGGACCATGGATGAGTAACACCCCCAGATGTGATGGCAAAAAGTGAACTGACGAGGGAGGCCGCTAGAATGAAGGACCCGACCCAATCTACCTTATTGATATGTGAATAGAAGGTGGATTTTGGCTTTTCTACCGTGAGAAGACTGCCAGTGCGACTCCAGCGATAGTACATGTGGGCACATGAAGCTGGAAGCTCCTAAGACATTATGATTTAGTACAGGCCAAGTACAGGCCCGCTAACATATTTCGATGCAAACATATAATTGCCAGCTCGTTCTTTCCGCAATAGCGGCACCCATCACTATTCCAGCGACAAGGCCCAAGGAACCCACCATAGACACAATACCAATGTATGTTCCACGGCTTCTTAAACGCCGAGAGATCCGATATAATCACGTTGACCAGGGAATCAACGCCTCTAGCACTAGCGCCGTGAATCTGAGGAACTCGAGGTTAGTACAAGGTTCACTCTTTAGACGGTGGCACACTATAGGCGAATATATACTTATCAGGGACCTACGCAACGCAGTAGGTACAAAGAAATTAGAGTAGCTAAATGCCTTATTCTATTCACGTAGTCCTATTGACAACGACTCAACGCTTAAGAAAAAGGAAGAGTTCTCTCTCAGCCGATTCGGGTGAGAGGAGACTCTTATAGCTTCCCCTCTTTCTGTCACGTGAAAAGGGTAAGGCAGCGTTAACCGATAGCCTTGTGCCTCAATCGTCCTTTGCCTTATCCTTTTCTTTCTATACCGTCCACCCGATTCGGGTGGAGGGCGTAGAGTACTTGGGGACAACGGTGGGCTCGTGACAATACTACTGGGCACACGTCCTACTATCAGCTATTTAATATTGTGGGCACTAGCGCATATGACGCTGGTGATGAGAAAAATGCCTTGTGCCACTAAGAGGCAGTTCTTGAGCCCGAAAGTGAAAGAATATGCACTGTACCAGGCTTGAGCGATTGTCTCGGAAAAGGGAAACGCTTTGCTACACCAATAGGCGTCCAAGCTCGACGCATTCAGCGCTTTGGAGATTGTTGGGAGAACAGACGCAATAATGAGCGTGTCAAGCAGGGAAATGAAAGCGAAGATGCAGATAGGAGTGAAGGCAAGGTGCACGCTGACCTCCACCGTGCGGCCCCCAGGAATAGGGACTGCTTTCGACGACTTGTCGCTAGTTCCCGATTCTGATCTGGCCTGGTTCTCAATCGAGAAACGAGGAAACCGCGCAGAGCCCAGGACTGGGAATTGCTAACGATCCCAAGAGAAAAGACGCAAAACTGAACGAAAGCAAATGCATCCCAAATAAGCCATTGATGTATAAAATAAGCCGTTGAGGCGTCTTACCAGGCCATTACCGTATCGAACATGTTTACTCCGTTCGCCGCACGCTACGCGACGCGAAGAGCCCGAGGCAGGAGAAGAAGAGGTCGGTAACATAATAAACCTATCGTCATGATCGAGGATAGTCAGTTTAGTCTCCGGCATGATACCTAATCAAAGGAAACATCGCTCTGATGCAAGACCCAGAGATCCTGGTTAAGACTTTGAGGGGCTGCATTGGCGTGATCATATTTCCCAGATTGGAACGTTCCTGTTGGAGATTTTGGCCTCCGGCATCTTGGATATTAATCGCGTGAAGTGTTGTCTCCGTGGAAATGAACCAAGTTTGGGGTTATTGAGGGAGAAAATCTACCAGAGTTTTGCGGATGCAGTTTGTGTTGGTGTGTCAGACGGACTGGATTGAGCCTAGTCGGATGCTGTGTAACACGTCGATCTGGAATGGCCCGTTGATGTCCTCAAGCTACCAAAGCAAGTACCAGCACTGATTGTTACACTCCGCATTTCAGGCCGCCTGAGCAGAGGGTTTCGATTCTAAAACAGTTCTAGCTGATGTCGGTCTTGGTGAATCTCAAATATAGGTAAACCATGGCCATCTCGGCAGACTTAGGCCCCGGAGTCCCAATCCAAGATTTCACTGAAAGGTTCACTTTGGAATGGGATTGTTGGCTGAGTTCGTTATCAGCTTCCTGACTCCGTACGCGTGCCGTTTGATCTTGCAGATGCTGAGTCGCACGAGGGGCGGGCGTCTGAAGCTCGCGCTTAAAGACCGCTCTCCCGGCGAATGGAAAGAGCTTGGCGTGAGCCGCAAAGGCGAAGACCAACATGTCCCAGAGGTATCGGTTGTCGTATTTGACCAGAAGGTCTGGTTCGCGTTACTGTTGAACCTGGATGTGGGTTTCGCAGAGGCATGCATGTGACGAGAGTTGGAGTGCGACAACCTTGATCTTTTCTCCGAACGTCCTCGTAAATTCTACGAAACTCTGCGGCTTCTATTACTCACAGAGGAGAGTCTTGTTCACTATCTAGATTTATATCCAAAATTGGGCGACTCTAGGCCATGGGATCCCTTGGTTGCAGCTTTTCCCCCATCCCTCGCCTGATGGTTAAGCCTACGAGCGACGTCAAGCATACGCTTCGAAATGCTTCTCCTTATTACGATACGTCGAACAAGCTCTTCGCGGCATTTCTGTCTTCAGACATGAGTTACTTGTGTGCACTCTGGTCTGGGGATCAACATAAGTCGCTAGGGTCTGCAGAGTGCTGGAAGGCGCACAATATCATTGAAAAAGCGCAGATCTCGGCCAGAGACCATGTTTTGGACATTGGAGGCGGATGGGATTTTTTGGCCATCGAAAGAGTCAGACTTACAGCCTGCCAAGTCACTGCAATCACCCTATCTAAGGAACAGAAAGCGCTCGCAGAGGAGAATATTCGGCGCGCAGGCCTGACGGACTAGATCGACTTCCTCTTATGCGACTACCGCCACACACCGCGACCAGAGGGAGGATTCGACCGTGTAATATCCGCGGAGATGCTAGAGCATGTGGGTAAGGAAGTATATGGACACGTTCTTTTGCCCCCATCACGCGGCTCCTAAAACCGAAAGGGGGGATAGTGGTATTCAAGGAATCACAATCATTAACGAGGTACGAACAACCATGCGTCCTTTTCATATCCGAGTTCTATGTCTGTCTTAGGTGGAGTGCCAGCCGTTCAGCTGCATGACTCTCGAGCGAACTTGGACGATTTCATTGACACCTACATTTTTCCCAGTGGCTATTTGCCCTCTATCCACCGCTTGACCTCCTCGCTTCATGCCGGCTCTCGAGGAGCTCTCGAGATCGAGTCTGTCTCGAGCATTGGGCCACACTATGTCAAGACGTTGATGACGTGGAGAGAGAGTTTCTGCCGACACTTGCCGAGGATCCGTGAAAGCTTTACAGAGGGCCGTCCTGGAGTGCTACAAGATGAGATTGAGACTTTCCGTCGAACGTGGATTGTGAGGCGATCCAGAGCGTTTATTCATCTCAAGTTCTTTGCTACCCTCGGCCTCGTTTTTCGAACAAATTACATTCCATTGATTGTCTTTTGCTGACTTCTGTCTTCCTAACTAGTACTACTTTAATTGCGTGGTATCTAATGCGTTGGAGGGCCTTAAGGTAATCACATGATGAGCGCTGCGCAGTCTGTCAGACCACTTCCCGGACTTCAGGTCAGCTGAACACAGTTACGCATCCGCGTCTACCTCTGCTATATTAATGCCGTTAATACACCTCAATCTCCGGCTTGAAGCAGCTTCTTTCCTTTTTGGCCCCGTTTGTTTTGTTGTTTCAGAAAAGTGGCCTACGAATTTACACAAGAGGAAGGAGAAATTAGCATTTTAGCTTGCCCTACTCTCATTTTTTCCAGCTCCTGATCGCTCTTTGTACTCCATTCATCATGGAGGCCTTCCTTCAAAGGGTTTCTTACTATAGAAAGATGTTCCTGACACAGTTCTTCCTCATGGTGAGCGTCAGTTACGGTTTGATCTTGGCAGTCGTCCTTCGACCGTGGGGGAAAAGTCTTCTCAGCATCAGCATTGCTGGGCGTTTGTTCTATCGCCTGGTGCGTTGGACGACCGGGATCCGAGTGCAGGTGGTGGAGGGAGCAGAGAGGCTGCAACTGAGGGAAGCAGTTTTCGTGGCCAATCACCAGAGGTTCGTTTTTGTCGTCTCCCCGCTATTTTCATATTCATCTCTTAATGGCGACAAATCTGACCACTTTTTGTGTTTCTTGACGTGCTAGCGAGCTCGATATCTTCATCTTTTCCGGGATCATCCCTAAGTACTGCACTTTGGCAGCCAAGAGTGATCTGAAGGCGGTGCCGATTATCGGATGGTTTTGTGAGGCACCACTACCCCTTTCACTTAATCACAGAAGTTCAAGGCTAGAAGCACTATTTCAAAGAGACTGATTATTCTGAATGATCTCGCGTCCGTGTAGTATGTGCGACAGAGACTCTGTTCGTCGATTTCAAGAACAGCAAGTCGACGATCGATGCATTCAAGAAAGCGGCCATCGAGCTCAGACGACGTAGAGTAAGTTCGAGTCCGTGTCCGCGAAATTCCTTAAATCTATTATACCAATGACTTTATCGGTAGCTATCTACCTTTTTGGGGACTTTGGGTGCTAAGATCAGTGTGGGCAGCATGGAGTGTTCATCTTCCCGGAAGGCGAGCGCTCCTTCTTCCTCAAGCCGAACCTTTTACCTTTTAAAAAGGGCGCATTCCACCTTGCCGTACAAGCCCAAGTGCCTATTGTTCCGATTGTGGCCAGCAACTACGCGGATATTGCAGAAAAGCGAAGCAAGACTCTCCGTCCTGGGAAGATTCTGGTGAAAGGTCGGGGTTTAGCTCTTATCCATAGGAAAGAGCTTCAGAGACTCTTTGCTAATTTGACACAGTCATGGAACCGATTGATACCAGGAATTTTACGGCTGCAGATGTCGAAGGGCTTAGAACACGGACGAGAGAGAAGATGCTCCAGGAAGTGTTGTCCCTCACTGCACAGGGTAACCCAATCCCCCATCCCCAAGCTGGCTGAAGGAGCATTCCGTGTGCTGACTGGAGCCTAGAACGGTCAATGGCTAGTAACGGAGAGGTATGCATACCAGTGAACAAAGCGCTGTGATTTTTTTTGTCCTGAACTTTACACAGACGCTGTTGAGGAAGTCACAACGATGTTTTTGAAACATTTCCCGAGGCATTCTGCAGATATCCTGCTGGAGGGTGAATGGAGTGCGGCCTGCAGTTGACGAAAGATTCTGCATGAATACCGCCGCCATCACCACCACCAACTTAGTAGTTGATGGCAGAGTGATAGCAGAGGGGTCAAATGTAGCTTCCGAGCAACCGACTTTACCGGCCTCCTCAGCTAGCAATTAGTTTCAGATACTTCTCACTGAGCCTGGCATGCATCTGCGCTCAGAGTAGATGTGCTTGAGTAGCTTAAGTACATGTACTCAATCATACGAAGCCAGAGGAGCAGATGAAGGAGGATTGATCGACGAACTCCTGAGAGACTTCGATTAATATACACAAGCTACAGGTGCTCTGGGAGGAATCGACAACGCTGCGAGGACTGTCAGATAGGTGCATAATTGGGCAAAGTGTGCGAGGAGCATCCAAAACTTACAGCAATCGTGCTATCGCACTGGCCATTTTACAAAGTGACCGAGGGCTATGAAGCTCTAGCGAATTGTGCTCTCCATTCCCAAGTCTCGCAATGAATGCTATCACCTGCTGCCAAGCAAAGAACAAGAGTCATTACTTGCAACGGCCGTATCATGGTTATCAGCCTCATTCGATTTGGAGGCGGAGCACGATGGTTAAGAGAACATTGTTATACACTCCAAATGCATTTATTTTGTTCTCTTTGCAGTGACTATTGGTTCTCTTGCTTCTGGCATTCACTCATCCACTCGTTGCGTGTCGAATGTCGCCAAACGTTTCACTCAAGAACTCGCCCGTCTTGCTTCGGGTGTTAATGTTGCCGATTGCTCCATCGATCCTATATGCAAGCTAGAGATGAGAAAAGCACGCTCGTCCTATTGACTGTACTTTGCTCCGTCCAACAGATTCTTGCTTTTGTACTCAATTAGCATACGTTGTCCAGTCGGTCAGGCCTAGATCTTCAGTAGAAAATCGCCCTCAGCTCGCACTTTCCAGGACTCATGACAAGACATCGTCACTAGAGACCTCTTGCTATATCACCCTTTTGAGCTGGACGATTTGGTTCTCTTTAACAAGCATATTCTTTCGCCCCTGAAACAGAAAGTTGTTCTCCTGTGATCAAGCTCGCCCTATCGCTACACAAGAACACCACAGCTTGAGCCACCTCTGAGGGAAGACCCCACCGGTTCATTGGAATTGTTTTGATGAGGGCGTTGTAGTTTGCCCCACGCCTGATTGATTCTTGCGTAACTAGGGAAGGTACCGGTCAGCCCCAAAAACTATGGGAAAGGGGGATGCAGAGGAACTTACGGGCGGTCTTGATAAAACCGGGTAAGACTGAGTTGACGCGTATACCGTCTTCTGCATATGCGACTGCATCAGTTCTGGTTATTCCCAAAACGCCTGTTTTCGCTGCTGAATACTAAGGTCAAAGAAGTTAGCCAAGACCTGCAGCCTCGTAGTGGCGCAGGATAACGGTCGAGCACGTACAGCGCCAACCGTGGGATGGCTGATGAGACCAAATAAGGATGATATGTTGACGATTGCACCGCGTTGTGGGGGAGCACCGGTCCTAAGCAGCATCAGCCTCGGATTTCGTTGCTCTGACCGCCTTCGAGCTGTAACCATGGAAATACTATACACACCTCATGGGCAAGTCAGCTTCCTGCTTCATCATCTGCCTCAACTCGGCTCGTTGGCATAGCCAGACGCCCCGTAAGTTGACCTCTTGGACTCGGTCCCATTCTTCAGTTTCAAGCAAATGAGTCTTGGTTCGGACTCTGCTGGTAACGCCGGCATTATTGACGCAATAGTGGATAGCCCCAAATTTCTTGACACCTTCAGCGACCATGTTCTCAACCTGTTCTTCGGATGATGTGTCGCACTTAACCAGACAAGTCTCCACGGCGGGATTCAGCGACTTCAGCTCCTCGACTGACTCCACAAGAGCTTCATAGTTGATGTCGCTCAAGATGAGGCGGGTTACTCCCTCTTCGATAAAGACCTTGGCGCAAGCATGGCCAATACCGGCTGCTGCGCCCGTGATGAGGGCCACGCTGTGGAACTCAGTGAACAATTTTTCAACCAGTGGACAAAGTATCACATACCCTGGTAATCCACGATACTGCGCTTGAGCCATAGCAATCTGATGACGAAGCAGTTGGTTCGAAACTGAAGTGGTCCTGATGTTGATCGGCTTCCTCGGTAAAGAATGAAGAGCAGAAAGGTAAAAGGAACGCGAAGACAGGTCCTAATGCATCGCGCGAACGTCCGCCTTTTCTAACACTCTACTCTTGATCCCAGGCGGGGACGTGGGTGGTCCACCAGAGGTTAGCCGAATATGCGGGGAAGGGTCACTACAAGTAGAGGCTAAAGCACAAAGGCATCGCACGCTCGTGCGGGCAGGTGATTGCTCGGCTCCAACGGCTGAGTGTGCGCGCATGAGCACTTTGCTGGAGGGCATCTCGGGAGTGAGGAGCGTCGTCTGCAAGAAGACAAGATGGGCGGAGTCCAAACGCCGAGTCTAGCCTATTGAGGATCACCAGTCGATTTGGAGGATGACCGATTGCCTCTTTATGCGGGATTCGCTTCCGCTTTGTTCGTATTTCGAAGAGTCAAATGGGGTCTATCACCCCAGAAATCCTCGGCAACGGCTAATGCATACCTAGGTAATCACGTTCTCAACCCCCCAGATGTTAGATGTCGAAGAAACGAGCGCTAGATTCACCAGTGCTTTGATGTTCCTCCGGTGCGCGGAGACGTTGTCTTGGTTGATTTTTCAAAACGAAAGACCTTCGCCGGCTTCATATTCGACGCATTGTCACGAGATACCCGCTGCAACCCCCCAAAAGAGAACGAAACCATAAACGTTCTGGGAGCAGGAAGCTGTGCCTGAATAGGCCAGTCCCTAGTCTGCAAGGGAAAGAGCGGCTACATCAAGCACTAAAGCCAGGCCTCCCATCATGGGCTAACGAGACCATGTGGTCGTCTTGACGACGCCGAAAGTTGAGGTCCTGGTGGCACAAAGGATTTCTGTTCATGACCTGGCCATGTAGCCTGTCGGGCGTTCCTAGAGCAGTGATGATGAGTTTCGCCCTGCGATATATGGAGCCCATATCCTGCGACTTGGCCGCCCAGTCGCCGCGTGAGTCCTGCACGACGCACAGGGAGTCGATCCAGAGGTGTGAATAATGCAGTCTGCTTGTCACAGCAGTGGCTTCTCGTATCGTGTTAGGAAGCGTGTCAAGCTCAAATCACTCCGCGGAGCAGATTGACGGACTATCCTAGAGCAGCCGTGGAATCTTAATAGTAGCAGAGAGCCAGATACTGAAGGGTGTCTTCAGCGTCAACAAGATGAGCTCTGAGATGGAAGAGAGACCAGTATCCAATGTGACGTACCCACATACAGGAGCCGAGCAGGACAGCTCGTTGCTTGAACATCATTTTCAGCAGCTTCGCATGGCTTGTGTTCAGCCAGACACCTACTCAGCCACCACTCAGCAATGCGTAGTGCCTGATCGTCTCCTGTTAATGCACAAAGTTGAAATGCAGAGTATCAGCCCTGTTGGCCCCGCTTAGCCGGCTGATGTACGGAATACTCTGTCCTCTTGGGCCATGGACCTGTTGATATTGGGCGCTCGGGCGGTAGCTGATGCTAGGACGGGGGAGTTGATGAACCATGGTCGACGGATGAGCCGTCCAAGATTTATAACGGCTACATTGGCATGACGTAAAACGTACTAAACCCTAAATGGGCATTTAGTGATGGCATCTCAAAGTCAAATCGGCATGACGATTGTCCCGAGTCCTTGATAAGCGAAAGCAATCTCGGTGGAAGTTGGTGGTGGAGGTGTGGCTAGTGGGATAGTTGGTGAGGCTGGTGGGCTGCGGTAGTGGTGGGTGGCTTGCTTTGTGCCTGCCTGCACATGTCCCATGTCCGCCTTCCACATCCAGTTTCCCTTTATCCAAGGGCACAAGATCCCATCCCTTCGCAACGCCCTCCGCGCCATCCTGCGATTTCCAGGATTGCGACCGGGCTCAAGAGACTGTGCTACGCAAGGTTTCCCGCCCTTCTTCACTATGCTGCCTATTTGACTGTTCCAGTTCTACTTGCTTCTGCGCTCCCATCCTCGCTCCAACCGCCGTTGGTGCGGTGCGCAGGCTGTAAGAAATTTCCATCTCACGCCCTGCTGCCTACCTGCAACCTCTCTACCAGCCTCGATCCTCGTCGGCCAGCCTGAAATCCTCCAGATGTCCTATCCATACCCTATCCCTCCCACTCCGAGAGTTATCTCGCCCTCCCCCACCCCTTCCGAGTCCTCCGAGCGCCAGGACTCCTATTTCGCGCCGGTCACACGCTCGGCCGCCAAAGCCCAGCGCCAGCGGTCCCCCCAACCAGATCCCATAAATGAAGAGAAGGATGGCTCTGGCTCAGACTCGAGCTTGGAGAAACGTGCCAGAGCGCGCTCCAGGAGTCCTGTCTTGACCACCACCACGCGCATGAATGGCTCGGCAAACGCCAGCAAGAGGAGACGCATGAGCGGTCTTACGTCGATAAAGCCCGTTACTAAATCAGAGCCTCTCACAAATGGCACCATTCCATACCCACAATCCAACGGCCACCTTTCACCCTACGACCGAGTCAAGAAATCCTGGCGAGAATTCTCCCGCTCACCTTCGCCCCTCGGCTTGATCCCACTCCACCGCCATTACCGAACTTTGATCCACAAGCATGAAATTCCCCGAAAGGTCCTCCACGTCTCAATTGGGTTCTTCACGCTTCGTTTATACATGAGAGGTGTACAGACCTGGGCTATAACACCGTGGCTGCTGGGCGCACTCGCCATAATCGCCCCGACCGACGTCCTCCGC